AGGTACCAATGATTTCCATTCCCTCAAGAAGCATAGCATAATGGCTTGCTCAGAAATTTTGGAGGAATCAACAATGTTCCATTTTCCTCATCTATCAAAAATAGTGATTTGGGAGAAATTGTATAAGAACACTGGTAATTTTCAGGTGCTTTGGACTACTATCTTCAAAAACCAACCATATGACTATAACAGAAAGTAGAAACTCAAGATATTAGAAGGCAGCACTATATTGTCTACATACAGTGAGTGTGTATGTGTGTATTCACTATACTTTGCTCAGATACAAGTCATTCAGTATCTTCTTTATGCCTTATAAATGATGCCAGCTTATTTTTTGTACAAAGGAATATTAATGAACATAAAATATTTATTAAAGATGCATAATGTGCTGGATTTCACAGAATTATTTCTGGACCTTACTTACATTACTGAATTAATCAGCAGCTGTACAATTGAATGATGCCTCTTTACTGATTCGTTCTGTTTCCTTACATGCCTGATTAAATGTTCTTACACAGCGGGAAACAAAAAAGATGTCAATTCTGTTTTAACAGTGCCATAGTGAAACCTGTCTCTTCCAACCTGCCTCTTTGAAAATCAAAACAAGCTTAAGACAAAAAGAAGAAAATAAGTTATTAGTATTCATTGTAAGGGTGAATACTCCAGCGAGTTTTCATAGTTTATATTGTGTGGTACAAAACTGATACATGGCCTGTTTGCTGATCTGTCTCAAAGCTGAAGTGCCAGTGAATAGACTGAAAAGCATTGAGGAATGACAAAATGGGCCAGAATGGGGAGAAGCAACTCTGGTCACCTTATTTATGTGAAACTGGTAAGGAAGAATAGAATTGGAACAATTAAATGATTGCAAGGTGTATTATACTCTTCAATGCTATCCTGGAAGAGACCAAATGCATGTTACAGAATTGAATTGCCAAAAAAAGGTTAGGCAGCCATTTTGTACTATCCACATTCTTAGTGCAATTTTGCTTCCTAAATTTTGGCAGTAAATTTAATACTGTGCAACATGATACTCAGTACAAGTTATATAGGTTTTGAGGATATCACATGACAAACTATCTTTTTCAGAGTTTTAAAAGCCAGAATATGACATATGACTTACTAAGAATGTTCCCCCTTATTTTTAATTCATTGCATACTCTGATTGACCTGCAGATGGTTCAGGAAATCCAGTATTAGAGCATCCTCTTTACTTTGGAATAATTTAAAAACAAGCATGACTAAATCGCTTTGTGTACTGTACCTTTAAAAATAGAATGAAAGGCAGTAGGCAGAAAACCTGTTTCCATGGCGAGGAAGAGCTTAAAATCCCCTTAAGGATGCTGAAGTTCCAACCCTTAATGGACGCCATCCTCATGCAGTAAAATCTGTTCAGTTGTAAGTTTTTCTGGACTGGTTTTAAATGTTCTGTATTAACTAGCCACTAAATGGGACATCCCAGGTAATCTCAGTCTAAGTGCCAGTAAACCTCCCTCTTCAACCTGAAACGATGGTGGGCAAAGATTCATCTGTTGCTACTATTTGACCAACTTGCAATTTTGAGGCTTGTTTCTATTATTTAGTCATTTCCTAATGCAACAAAAATAACAGACTGATTTCCAATACTACTTTTTCAGTTGGAATCTGCCGGTTTCTCTGTTCTTTAAACTATTTAATATTAAAATTCTTTTATGTATTTATTGTTAAAGTGGCAGGCTGGAGGGGAGAATGTAGCCATTTTATGCAACTGCACATAATATTTTTGTGCCCACAGCTCCACAAAGTTGCCAGACACTGAAATGGTGAATTCAGGTCACTGTGGGTATGGATTTATATATCTATAATTAAAATAATTGGTTTCATACACCCTCTTCTGTTTCCAAAAGCTATTTAAAAGTTTGCTTAGGCTTCTAAAGTGTCACAGTATTTTAAATTGATGTTTGGAAGCTTTCTTACTTAAAACTAATGAACTCTGTTGTGTATATTATTGTAAGCCACCTCTGGAATGGATAACCTTTTCTAAAGGTTCAGTATAAAAAAATTTGTAAAAGGAATTCAATGAAAATTATAATTATTTTTTTAAACTCGTATATAAAAGCTTAACATAATATAAAGATTAAAGAAAATAAAGTGAAGTGAAAAAGTAAGAAAAGTATGAGAGAAAAAGATATATAAAAAACAACTTCCAAGCTTCTTCACTGAAGTTACAAGCAAGCAGATCCTCGCACCTCCCTCCTTAAAATTACATTATGTTTCCTTTTTCCCATATTCAACTGTTTTTAATCAGAAAATCATAAATTATTTTTTTACATTTTCAGTAAATATCCATAAAAGGTTTCCAGTCTCTAATAAAAGTACTTGTATTATCCTGATCAAAAAGGTTAGTTGCTATTTCTGAAAATTCCATCATCTTCATAGTCCATTCCTCCATTATGATAGTTCAGTATTTTCTATCTTTGTCCATATAATAACCTTGCTGCAATAATCATATACAAAACCAACCTTTTCAGAGCATTTTTTTTCTAATTCGCTATCCATAAGTCCCAATAGAAAAGGTTCTGATTTCAGCATTAAAAAAATAGTTGCTGCCGAAAATCTTTTCATGATGTCTTTCCAAATGCAATTCCCATAGAGTTCAATCACTCTGTGCGTTAAAGGAAAATGAGCTAGAATTTGGTGCAACCTTCAAATTTAGTGGGGGGAAAGAAAAAAGAAAATACTACTTTTAAGTATTTGTTTATTTATCTAATCATCTAAAATCAGGGAAATACATTGTCATCCTTAGATGCACATGTTGAGAGGATAAGTCTTCAAATTATGAACATGTATTTTGTCTTCCATCTTGCAGGTTTCTTGACATACAACTTTCAAGATCAGAAGATTATGTCCCAAACTCCCTTGTTATACTGCCCTTGTTGGGATCCTTGGAAAGGAAAGGGTAAAAAACTTGTAAAAACTAAAGCAGGCTCACTGAATCAGAAGTCCAAGTAAGTAAAAGTAGAGGGTTGGAGTTGTATACTTGTAAAGGTCAATAATTTTTCAGTTGCTGGACTATCAATGAACATTTGAACAACCATAGTGTTCTTGTGTTTTTGTTAATGGCTGAGAGGGTTTTGAGGGCCTCCATGCCATATTTTGGTTTGGGGAAATCCAAAACAACCCAACTTCCAAATCAGAAAAGTCACCATGTGTTTAAGAGTGACACAAGGCCATCTCTCCAGACATTCATTAAGGAGTAACTAAATACTGGATTATGAGGGAGAAGAAATAATATACAATTGATAGAAAAGTTTGTGAGAGGGAAGAAGCATTTCATCCACCGAGTATATGAAAATTTGGATCTTATGGAAGCTGAGAGCAACACTGTTGCGTAAGATCCTGACAGAAATACACACATAACAGAACCACTAAAAAGCTGTTAAAAAGTATTGCCATATAAAACATACATTGTTATCCTCATGATTCATAAGAACATCAAGGAACCCCGTCCCCTGATAAATTTTAAGCAAGATAAATGGCAAGGACTTCATTGAGTTCCTTTTGATTCACATGGAGCCTGGAAAAATTATTGATTCCTGATATAAACTTTGTAGAAGTTTATAGAATGTATGTAACTATCAAATTAATTGTTTCTGTAATTCTGAATTCTGGAATTCAGATATATTATTCAAAACCTATGGAATACTATTTAAAAACCATTGACATTCACAAAATCACCATGTCAATTGCAAAAAGCATCTATACTTGGAATAGTTTACTTCCTGTGACAATAGCTTTAACACCATCAACCATCAATATTTGCCTATCCCAAGTCCTTGGGAAAGACTTGATGGGTAGATAAAAATATCAAATCCCATTTAAAAATTTAATTGGCTGTATGAACAACTATAATATATTAAGTTTATATGCTTCTGATTCCAAGTGATTCTGAATGTATTCTAATATTCAAAGTCGATTACAAAAAGTGACAATGATTACATATAAAATCTAATAAAATTATATTAATAAATAATAAATAAATTATTTTGTGTAATTATAACTTTAAAATATAAAAAAAGTTTAAAAGGAGTGTCCCTCCATTTATGTTTTGAGACTGAAGCTTTTGAGACCGAAGTTGGCACACGTGATCTTGGAACCATTGAACTATGTCTTTCATAAATCCTGAAGTACTGGGGAAATACAAGAGGACTGGAAAACAACTGATGTGGTTCCCATCTTTAAAAAAAAGTGGGGGCGGGGGGACAATCCAGGAAACTACAGACCAATCAGTCTGACAGCAACACCTGGAAGATAATCAAGCAACAGAACACCTAGAAGCAAGCAAAGTTATAGAAAGAACCCAACATGGCTTTGTCAAAAACAGATCATGCCAAACAAATGTTATCTTTGACAAAGTGATTAAATTCATGGACCAGTGAAATGCAGTGGACATTGGATTTCAGTAAGGCATTTGACAAAGTAGACCACAACCTATTTCTCGGTAAGCTAAAAAAAAAGTGGGACAGACAGCTGTGGTAGCACAGTGGTTAGAATGCAGTACTGCAGGCTACTTCTGCTGACTGCTGGCTGACTGCAATTTGGCAGTTAAACTCTCACCAGGCTCAAGGTTGACTCAGCCTTCCATCCTTCTGAAGTGGGTAAAATGAGGACCCAAATTGTTGGAGGCAATATGTTGACTCTGTAAAACCACTTAGGGCTGTAAAGCACTGTAAAATGGTATATAAGTCTAAGTATTATTGCTATTGCTGTCACCAGCAGATGGATTTATAACTGACTGACAAACTGCACTCAAGGTATAGTCCTTAATGGAACTACATAACATGGAGGGAAGTAAGCAGCAGGGTATTCAAGGTTCCGTTTTAGCCCAATGATCTTCAACATCTTTATAAATGATTTAGAGGGCGGAATAGAAGGGGAACTCATCAAGTTTGTAGGTGATAATAAACTGGCAGGGATAGTCAATCCCCCTGGCAGACTTGAACTGGATCCTATCTAACAAAATGAATTTTGAGTATAGAGAAAGGTAAGGTTTTCTTACTTAGGTAAGAAAAACCAAATGAATAGGTGCAGATTAGGTGATACCTGACTCAATAGCAGTAACTGTAGAGGGATTTTGGAGTCCTAGTGGACAATCACTTAAATATGAGCCAACAGTGTGTGGCAGCAGCCCAAAAAAGTCAGTGCAATCTAGCTTGCATTAACAGAAGGATATAATCACATTCATGTGAAGTTTAGTACTGTTTTATAAAGCTTAGTAAGACCACACTTAGAATACTGCATCCAGTTTTAACCATATTATAAAAAAAGATGTAAAGACTCTGGAAAGAGTGCATAAAAGAGCAATAAAGATGATTAGGGGGCTGGAGGCTAAAACATATGAAGAAGAGTTGCAGGAATTGGGCTTATCTAGTATAGAGAAAAGACGGACAAGAGGTCTTGTGACAGCTGTATTCCAGTATTTGAGGGGCTACCACAAAGAAGAGGTGTTCAACCTAATTTTCAAAGCACCAGAAGGTAAGACAATAAACAATGGACGGAAACTAATCAAGGAGAGAGCCAACCTAGAACTAAGGAGAAATTTCCTGACAGTTAGAACTGTTAAAACCAGTGGAACAGCTTGCCTGTCAGTGCTCCATCGCTGGAGGCTTTTTAAGAAGAGTTTGAACAAGCCATTTGTCTGAAATGGTATAAGGTCTCCTGCTGTATGGTGTGCTGCTTGAGCAGGGAATTGGATTAGAGATCTCCAAGGTCGCTTCCAATTCTGTTATTCTGTTTTGTTATTCTGCTTTATTTCCTAATGTCTAAACATTAAATAAAAATCATTAGTGGAATGAGATTAATTACTATGGCTTGCAAGATGAACTAAAGATTCAACTGTAGTTGACTCTTCATTCAATAGTTCACTTTCAGGCATACCTGAATGTTACTTTGTTAATTCACTATTTCTCCTTCGGTATTGTTATTTGCCCTTCCTTGCATGTGTCGGGCAGACAGAAGTGAGGAGAATAGACTCTTTCACTGATGTGCAAATTTGGATCACAAATCACTATTTATGCTAGCAAGTCTGTACCACTTCATTGTGTGTCTCTCTAAAGCAGCATATATAATATTGTGCTGTGTATCACTTCATGACAGCTAATTTTTCCCCAATCTGTTTTGCTGAAGTTTTCATTCTACCTGATGCCCCAGCTCTTACACACACTGTAGCTCTGCATATATTGCTCATTTCAACTACAATTTAATCTAAAGAAAAGCTTCAAATGCTCAGTCAGATGCACAACCTATTACTACACTTACTGTCACATGTTCCCAGGCCCCTGTAGGGAACTATCGTAAGATTTGCAAAATTGTAATGAACAATGTAATATTGCTGTGTGCTAGAGAGAACAAATCTATAATTTAGTAATAGATGTTATCTATTCAAGTCAAAAACACTCAGAAATACTAGTGAGATTTAAAAACCAATTGCATTTTAGACTTGACATTTGAATAAAGTATTACTTTTCTAAACAGTGTTTTTTTCCACATTAGAAAAACATCATCAGGAGGGATCCTTAAAGACCAGTCCAAAGTCCAGTTAAATCCTTCAAACACTTCTAGGTAAGTCTCTTGTGCTTGGAGATAAATGCAAAAGTAAGGAATGTGCAAGATATAAAACCTTATCTGTATGCTGGGAATATTAAATTGTTTTTCATCAGTATTCTTCAGAGCACATATTCAAACAAGATACTCTTTCTGCCATTCTTGACACATCTGTGTCAGTCTGTATGTCCAGAAAGGATGTGATGCCACAATCAATCTGAAGTCCATTACATATAAAAGATGCATGCACGTGGGAGCAGATGACCTGTTGCTGAAAAATATATTACCATTTACAAAATTGTCTATTACGCTGCTCATTCCAAACACTGATTCCAGTATAGAAATTCAGGGTAATCTACTCTCTACTGCAAACGTGTTCCAGTATGTTGCATTTACTATGTCAGCCCAATGATATGTACATATCCTGCATTGTAGTGCAGAATATTTTAATTTTTGACAAATCCTGATGGTACTATTGCTCTTAATATTTTATCAGAGTTCTTTCCCATTTTACTCAGATCTGATACTATATTAATTGAAGCCAGGCCAATTTATCCCCCTATTCAGGATCCATTTTTAAATTTGCTGGTCCTAGCTTGGAGGCCAATTGAATGAATGAATGAATGATTTCTTTATTGGCCAAGTGTGATAAGACACACAAGGAATTTGTCTTTTCTTGGAGGAACAAATTTAATTGTAAAAGCAACAAAATAATGACAGTGTCCTTCAATACGTTCTTAATTGTTTCTGCAGAAGTGGTTGTGGATGAGAATTTCTTTTTGTGTTATTGCTGGCACATTGGGAATTTTAGGAAGGATCTGGACCAGTGGTGGGATTCAAATTTTTTTACTATTGGTTCTTTGGGTGTGGCTTGGTGGGTGTGGCTTGGTTGGGCATGGCAGGGGAAGGATACTATAAAATCCCCATTCCCTACTCACCCCATTAACCTGCTTTCCAGCTCCGTTCTCCTGTACAGGGCAACAAAAGAAGACCCAGCCGATCAGCTGGGACTCGGGAGGCAGAGAATAGATCAGGGCGGGGCCAGTCAGAGGTGGTATTTGCCAGTTCTCTGACGACTCAAAACTTCCATTGCCGGTTCTCTAGAACTGGTCAGAACACCACCTCTGAATACCACCTCTGATCTGGACACCATAATCTTTCTATATTTTTAAATGCTATTTCATTCTTTTCTCCTTTTCTTCATAAAACAGTCTGTTAAAGAGAAAAGGGTAAAATACCAAGCTCTTTTATAGGTAGTACCGATTGCACTTTAATTATTATGTATTTAATTATTTTAATTTCTTTGAAGGAAGCTTCCATGATTCCTTGATTTTTCTATGCTGAAGTCTTTGTAACCATTTTCTCATGAATTTCTGAAATACATGTCCTTTCTATTTTTATGCAGAAGGTCCTGGTTTTGACAGGAGTCCCTAAGCAAAACAGTTTTGTTGCCATAGTATTTTAAATAACCTTACATTTTCTTTCCAGAATGAGATTTTCACATCAAAATAAAACTATTAGTTCAGCTTCACAATCCTCAGAAGGCCACTAGCTAAAGCCTTTTGTACAATGCTTAAGATGAACGGATGTTCTAAACAAGTTGCTAGCTCTCTCTCAAATCATTCCAGCAACCTTCGTATGCTCTTGCTTTTCCTTATAAAATGTGAAATTAAATTAGTTTCCTGCAATGTTGAAGAAAGCATTCATTAATAATGATTGGACTCTAAAATCAGAAAAAAACATCTTCAACAAAAATGTTAAGCAAATTCTTATGCAATTTTCTGACGGATTATGTTGCAATTCAAGAATGACACATTTATGGTAGGATGAGAGAAAATAGATTTCTTATCTTATTAGGAAAAATAATGAAGCACTAAAATATATATTTTTCATAGTATGTCCTTTTAAAGTTTACATACCAAGTTTGCATTTGTAGAGGATACAAAAAGTGCTTACCAAAGTATAATTGAGGTCAAATTTTTGACACATGCCTTTATCTCCTTGGTAGTCTAAATAATCCTATTTTTTCCTTCCAGAGTGAAATTTTCCGCCAAAACTTATGTGCAACCATTAAGAAGCAGAGAGCCTCAAGATGTAAGTAAAATATATTACTTGTTATTTTTGTATGCATTATGATGGTACTTGGAATATGAATGCTTTAACCCAGCTTTTTCCAAACTAATGCCCTCTAGATGTGTGGGTTTATACATTTCACAATGATCAGTCAGAATGTGATTATGGCAGTCATACTTTTACATATCTGTAGGTTGCCAAGTTAAGGAAGGCTATTTTAATCACTCTCTTTCCTCCATCCTTGTAACATCCTTGTCTTGAAAAGTAAAACCCTTGTAAAGTAGAAACATAAGGGAAAAATTCCTTATCCCACAGAATAAGAATTTAACGATTAAGGTCAGATATCTACTTTGCTTCTGACTTTGATAATCTCCTTCTTTGATAATCAGAATGAAGTCTTTCATCCAATAATGTTCTGGTCTGGTTCTCAGATCCTAAGATCTTGTGGCATGGGCTAATGATGGTATTAATTATTAATAATTATAATGCCCTTTTATTTCTTAATTTCTCATCCTTATTCCCATTCTTATCTAATCCTGCTGCAGATATTTATTTCCCAAATTAACATTCCAGTCTTCCCCTCCTTCACTTTCCCAACATACTAGACACAAGATAGATATTTCTCCCATGCCATCACTCTGCTAAACAACTAATTCCCACAACACTGTCTAACTATCTAGAAAGGCAGTATTACCATCCTTATTCTCATGTTCCTGATTACTTGTGCTACAGTTGTATGGATGCTTGTGTGTTTTTAGGGGGTGGGGAACTTTGGCAGGTGGGTGTGTGTTTGGGGATTGTCATGTGTGTGTGCATGTTGGGTCTGGTCTCTGGGTGTTATGTGAATTTTGTTGTAGTATGTATACTGTGTATATAAGTACAATGATAATAAAGTTATTATTATTGTTGTTGTTGTTATTAGTTACCTGTCACCTTATCTTCTTACTGCATGACTACGGTATAACTTGTTGCTTGTATCTTACAATTTAAATTGTTCAATTAGTATCCTAGTATGTTGATCGCTTATTTAGTATTCATGACTATCACTAAGTGTTGTGTCATGCCCCTGTTGGAGACTGACTCTAAGGAAGAGGAAAAACAGCCAACAGGGAGTGGAAGTGTGGCTCTAGAGGTTGTGGAGAAGGCTGGGGAAGGGCAGAGGCCGGCTGGGCAGTCAGAGGACCCAGGCCCATCCCCTATCCATCCTAGGGCACACAAGGAGGAGAGGATTAGGGTAAAATGTGGTCTCCTCAGGAGGAGAGGGCCATGATCCTCTTCATGGGTTGCAGGTGTGAGATTTGCATAAGAATATGGACCTGTGTGCTAACAGATGCTGGAGACAATTTCGTGTTTTATTCCTAAAGAAGGTTTATCTTGGTTGGCGTTCTTCCAACGGACTGTACTTGGTTATCTTCCTGAAGTTGGCAATTAACTATCCTGGTCTGTCGGGGAACTTTATTCAGTGTGGTTTGTTTTTGGTTTTTGCTTTGTTATCAGCTCTTTGAATTTGAACTGTTTCTTTCTTTTGAAATGTTATTTTGAAAATAGTTTACTCCTCCACTGTGAACAATTAAACAGTGAAACCAAGTTGAAGGCATTAAAAGACTTTTAGTTACGTTTTGGGTTTTGTTATATTTCTGATATACTCTGGGTCATCACATTTTGTCTCCAGCCACACCTTCAACTTGTTTCTGCTTTTTGTGGGGTGACCATGGATCAGCTCAGAGCAGACATCATCCAGTTAAGCCAGCAAGTGGCTCTTTTGACTGCACAGGTTGCGCAGATGCAAGCTGTCTGGCCACGCCGTAAATGCCCGGTAGCGGTGCCAGATAAATTTGATGGATCACTGGCCCAATTTCCAGCATTTTTTGGGCAGTGCCAACTTTATATGAGCCTTCAGCCAGAGGACTTCTCCACTGACCGGGATAAGGTGGGGGTTTTGATTAGTTTATTGTCAGGCTCTGCAGCACGTTAGGCAACGCCTCTGTTGACCCAGCCCAACCAGGTGTTGGACAATTATGCCGAGTTTTGCTGTCAGTTCCAGGCCATGTTTGAGGACCCTCTTCGGGGCCAGCAAACAGACATTTGAGAGAGTTGAAGCCGGGGCGTGGCTCGCTCATGAATTATATTGCTAGCTTTCAGGTGGTCGCCCAGGATGTACAATGGAATGAGGCAGCACTGTTAGACCAATTCCAGGAGGGTTTGTCATCGGAGCTCCTGGACAAGTTGGTGCTCACTGAATGCCCTCACACCCTTCAGGAGCTCATGCATCTGTGTCTTCATATTGATGCTAGGCTTCAGCAGCGATGGGTGTGACGACAGATGGAGACTGCATCTGTTCCCAGTAAGACAGCACCTCTGGTGGAAGTGCCTTTGGAAGAGCCCATGCAGTTGGGGGCTGCCCACCTTCACCTGACCCAAGTAGAAAAGGATAGGCATTGTCGTGATGGGTTATGCCTCTGTTGTGGCAATCGAAGCCATTTTGCGGCCAAGTATCCTGTTAAGACATTCACAGCAGCGACGTCAGTGGTGGCAGGAAAGTATTGCCCAGCCTACAGGGGTCTGTAGATCGGGTTTCAAAGTCCCTAGGCCCACCATCTTCACCTTCCTTGCCATCCTTGCCATCTTTGCCATCTTCGACATCTCTGCCCCAGTCATCATTGGTGAAGCATCTTGTGCTGACAGCAAGTATGTTTGCGCCTGGTCATGGAACGGTGGAGATCCATGCCTTGGTCGACTCAGGGGCCACAGCCAATTTAATGGGTGCTCATTTTGTCGAGCAGTGGTTCATTCCCCAGCAACAGGTGTCCCCACCAGTAATGGTGGAGACGACTGATGGTCGGCCCCTTTGTTCAGGACCTGTGGTTGCTGCAACCAAACCCCTTCGCATGTGTATTGGGCAGCATGTGGAGGAAGCCGTGTTCTATGTTGTCGCAATACCTCATTTTCAGGTGGTGCTGGGTTTGGAGTGGTTACAGGCCCATGATCCACAGATTGTCTGGTCATCTGGAACTGTGCAATTTCTTGATAGGAAGTGTGCCAACCATTGCTTGCGTTCCTATGTAGGGGGTATGATTACGGCCATGGACTTGGATCGACCTGCAGAGTTGGTGACCTATGTTCCAAGTGGGGGGAATCAACATGGTGATGCATTGTCCCAGAAGCCTGAGTATACCCAAAGGGAGGACAAAATCTTGCTCCAGGCAGTGATTCCTTTGTAGCAGTTTGTGGCCACAGAGGGATCTTTGAGTGAGGATTCAGGAGGCATAGCAACAGGATCCATTTGTGGCTGCTCGGCGTTGTGAATTGGATGAGAATGGGAGACAAGAGATTCCTTGGCATATATTGGGGACCTGTTGAGGTTCCGTGAACACATTTACGTGCCTGGAGGTCCTCTTCGTGGCCTTATCTTACGTCAATGTCATGATAGTCCTGCAGCAGGACACTTTGGGGTGTTCAAAACACTGCACCTCATCTCAAGGACATTTTGGTGGCCGAGACTTAAGCATGATGTGTCGGGATATGTGGCATCCTGTGGGATCTGTTGACAAGCCAAGTATGCTCCTGGTGCACCCCCTTGTCTTTTGCAGCCATTACCCATGCCAGAAAGACCTTGGGGGTAGTTTCATTGGACTTCATCACTGAATTGCTACCATTGAAGGATGCTACAACCATTTTGGTGGTGGTGGATATGTTGACTAAAATGGCCCACTTTATTCCCTGCGCGGGCCTTCCTATAGCCCAGATAATGGCCCAGTTGTTTATCTCCCATGTATTCCGGTTGCATGGGTTACCAAACCGAATAGTATCAGATCAGGGGGTATAATTTATGGCACGGCTCTGGCAGACCCTACTCGCAAAACTGCAGGTTCAGACATGTCTGTCATCCACCCATCACCCCGAAATTGATGGGGGGAACAGAGAGACGAATGCTATTTTGGAGCAGTACCTCTGCTGTTTCAGCAATACTTAACAAGACAATTGGGCGGAAGTGCTGCTGGTAGCAGAATTTGCTTACAACAATGCTCAATATGCCTCCACCCATGTGTCCCCATTCTTTGCCAACTATGGTTTTCATCCACGACTTTTTCCTTTAGCCCTGTCTGACTCCCCAGTTCCGGCAGTAGATATGTTCTTGCAAGAGTTAAAAGCCATGCACCACATGGTCCGAGATCAACTAGAGAGAGCCAAGGAGGACTACAAACACTTTGCAGACTGACATCATCGTGATATTCTGCCTTTAGCGGTAGGCAATCGGGTGTGGCTCTCTATTCAATACTTACTGACGACGCGGCCATCAAAAAAGCTCAATCACCATTACCTGGAACCTTTTCCGGTCGAGGCGGTGATCAATCCTGTGGTTTTTCGGTTCTCCCTGCCATGGACCATGCATATCCATCCTGTTTTTCATTGCTCCCTGTATCGGGTGACAGCCCACATAGCCCGCTCCACAGCTCCACTTACCACCGGGCCCAGTAGCCCCTCAGGGAGAGGCAGAGTACGAAGTGGATAGCATCCGAGATTCATGCCAGTTGCGGGGCCGATTTCAATATTTGGTGGCATGGAAAGGTTATGGACGAGAGGACTTCACCTGGGTCGATGCCACTGATGTTCATGCTCCTCATTTGGTCCATAACTTCCATGCTTGGTTTCCTCAGTGTCCTCATCCGCCTGGTCCCGGGGGAGGGGGCCCTGCGGGGGGGATAGTATCATGCCTCTGGTGGAGACTGACTCTGAGGAAGAGGAGGAACAGCCAACAGGAAGTGGAAGTGTGGCTCCAGAGGTGATGGAGGAGGCCATCACATGCCATCACAGTGTTGTATCTAATGTTTTATGAGGAATGTATTTTTACAATGACTATGGTAATTATCTATTGCTATTGCTGTATGTACACTGAGAATTTATACACCGGAGACAAATTCCTCATATGTCTAATCACAATTCTATCCTATTCTATTGGTTTCATTTCTATTTTATCACAATTTCATTGTTATCTAATTTTTAACTAAGTGACCATATGTTTTCATTTGTTAATATTTAAATTTTGTTATGTGAGCAGTTTGGAATTTTGGTTTTTCTTTTGGACCTTGCAATAATGTTCTGAATGATTCCATATTGGATGGCTCTGTGTCTGAACAGGCAGGATGATCCTCTCCCGGCAAATATTTGTATGACTATGAAATTTCTCTGGAAAATGTAGACTTTTATCTATTTTCTATACCTTCTTTCCTTCAGATTGTTTGAATGAGATAGTCAAAGTATTAAGTATTCGGGAATAAATATTTATCAGTTGGCCTGAAGTTTCCTAAGATTAGAAAACTAAAGGATTACACACCTTAGCTTTCCAGTTTGGAAGGAGAACCAAAAGCACATAATCCTGGCTTCTTTTATAAAACAGCACTTAAGACTAAAGAGCCAGATCAAAATGCTTTAATACATTCAATTTCAAGAAGTGTATAATTGATTTGGATTTTGAAACTATTCTTCTAAAGTTATTTCTTTTTTCATCCCAGATATCCAAAGTGCTTGAAGAAGAGATCACACCTGGTTTTACCTTGTCTCACAGTAAGGAACATATTGATGTCACATTGGGGGAAGAATTCTTTGAAAAACAAAAGCCTACAGAAGAACCCATCAAAACTACTGCGCTTGGGTAAAATTACATAGTGGCCAGATGATGTATTTGCATAGCATAATTCCTAACTTCTTGCTATGTGATATGTTATCAATGTTTTGTTATTTCATGTATGTGGGAACAATGCAACCAGTTAAGCTTCCACATCTTTATATGGATTCCCAGTAAATTTTGAGAGAGAATTCAGGGGTGTTTTTTTGCAGATGGTTTCGCTATCCAAACATTCCCAGAAAACTATTTTAATGGATGAAGAGGGCAAGGGTCAAATACAGCTGCCATCCACAGCCTGCCTTTCTTATGTGTTAAGATTTCACCACCTCTGTAATCTCCAAATACTACAACCAAAGACCATATTGGCTGGGAACCATCATGAAGACTTGCACATCTGGAAAGCAATAGCTTTTAGGCTGCAGAAGGACATCTTAAGTTCAAGGGTATGTGCAGAGGGACAAGGGAAAAAAATAAGTGCGTGATGATGTATATTATCTCGCAATTTACAAATCTGCATCAGAGATCTTTGTAGAAGTGAGTCATAAAAGTATGTGCATGTCTCCATCAGTGTCAATGTCTTACCATTTTGGCATCATGGTGGTTTATAGCTTAGGTCTTATTTAGATAAATACAAAAGAATCAAGTTCAAAATAAATGCTTTTTTCTGTCCTACAGTAAAAGTGAGAACTGTCTATAGAATTCTATGAAGAAATCTAGAATTTAGCTGTGGATATGACTAGACACCAGTTAATTTTCTCTTCCTTTCCACCCCCCACCCCCAACTCCCCAGAAAAAGGAAACAAACATTTCCTAGCTTACAAAACTCTTAAACTGTTTTTCCATCTGCTTGGTATATTTCTTACATCATATTGTTGGGATAATGTATGCTCCTGAAAGCAAACCTTTGTGCAAACCTTTAATTAGTTCCCCCTGTCATTTTTGACTCTAAAGATTAGCTTGAATATATTTACAGATGATATTTTGATTCAATGTTTGATTCAACTGAATGGTTTTCTGTTATGCTTTTCCACTATAATGGGATTCATTTAATTTTTTGTCTCAATCATTTGATCATCACATTCAGCTTGTTTTATGCTCCTTTACAGATATGAGTCTCAATCTGAAAGCTCTAATAACATCCCCAAATTCCTGCATTGTATTAAGACATGATGCTTATATAATTGCTGCAATTACATTATGCCTGCAGGCTGCAGAATTTGCAAAATATTGTAATCCACAAAATTCAGCCCATAGTTTCCATATACACATATGATTATAGATTAGATCTTGAATACAATGACTTTATAAAATGACTGTATTTAATAGAATGCAATGTAGATTTATACTGCTTCTCTCTCTCCCTCCCTTTCCCTTTGTCATTCCTTGCAGCACTCCACCTAAGCTTGAAACGTAAGTACTGATACAGTCTTTTGCTTCTTATAGTTTTCTTGGATTGCAATCAATAGGGCCTAAATGTGTCCTCTGTTCTGTTTGCTCCTCTGTAATCCTATATTTGTTAATCTGAGTTAATCTCATTTCTTTATCGTCTATTTTAATCTGAGTTTACAACATGTTTTGTGGAACAGTGTACCAAATCTGTTGCCCTGGAAAAAACAATTTTTTGTTCTGCAAAAGAATCTGGGGTGTTGCTGAGTTAAGCACTGGTGCACTTATTTGACTTTTCTCGTGTGTATTGCTCTGCTCTGGAGTGAGGATGCACAGTTTAATTAGCTTTATCACTGCCTGCTGCCTTTTACAAAAAAAGGCAAGGAAGACCATATAAATTATATTACAGCACTCTTTCCCTAAGATGTGGCCAGCCGGTACAGGATTTATGAGTCCTAGGCCAAATAAATTGGAGGACATCAACTGGCTAGTCTGCTGAATTAGTTGAAATTCTTCCTATAGTAAATTCTTTTGTAGTTACAAACATTTATGTTTGAAAGCCTCATTTTCAGGGGTATTCAAAAGAGACTCCTGAACTGAAGAGACAATTGTAAAACAATTATTAAAACATTTCAGATACCAAGATTGCATTGCTGTTGACCTCAGAAGAGAGGTTTTTAAAAGGAAACCACATTAACATAAAATGTCTGAATTGGACTGCTAGCCACTTTGATTCTGTTTGTTTCAGATGTAGCATGGCATTTTAATAGGCAATCTGATATTCTGCAGATGCTTGGACAGCAACCTTGCTGAAATGGCCAGTAGTAGGTATTATGGAACCTGGGGAGGACATCAGATTGCCTACCTGGATATAGCTATTCTCAGAGCGTTTGTTGTTATGATCTTTGTTTTTGTTTTTAAAGTTTATATTGAAATGGGAAACTTCCATTTTCATTTCATTTTGACTGTATCAGATTGATAGAATTATTCCTATAGAATGTATTACTACTTATTAATAAATTCAGATAAGAATGCCAGAAGAGCTATGTCTTACTACACTTATCTATCTAAACTGCCATTGGGAGGTATTTCCTACTATTTCTTATATTTATTACCTCTCAGGAGTTATTTGTTATTCATTCAATAATTTTAGTAATCCAAGTTGTACATTGCATTTGCTTCCAATATAAGTCCAGGTTGAGTTATACGTTCATGTGACAATGGTGTAATCTGGAGAGATTTTTACAGATTTAATGACACAAACTGGATTTCCAAATCTCCCAAGTACTTTTTTTTTTTTTAATGAGCCCACTGGGAGAAATGATGAAAAATCCAATATGATGTTTACATGTAGGAACCACCTCTCTGTCCTATTCTGCTGTTCAGTTACAGGACTTCTGATTTTTCATAGTATCATTTGGCAGGATTGTCAGTAACTATTTGGGTTCTTTTAAACTCCTGCTTGGGTTATCAATGATAGTATCTAGCTAGTCTATCTTATGTAAACCTATTTTTTCAGTTGACTTTAATTTTTCCAAGCAGCAGAATCTTCTCCAAGAATATTTGCATTTGTATAATGTGTCCAAAATATTGATTATGTTTGGAGGCCCACCTTCTCTGTAACGGCACCCGTCCTCTGAAAGAAATTGCCCAAAATTTTAATGGCTCCCCTTTGCTGGTGTTTCAAAGGGCCCTAAAGATCTGGTTCTTCACCCATGACTGATGCCTCTTTCTCCTTTTTTGTTCCCTTCTGGGTTCATTTTCTTTGCTGTCATTGTTCTTTGGTCTTGTACTGTTTTCATCTATATGTAGCTTTTCTATATGGATTTTTTTTCTATTATTCTTTGCTTTTAAATGTTTTAACGACTGTAAACTCCCCAGAGATGCTGGGACTTGGGTAATATATAAATTTAATGAATTATTACTTGTTTACAACGATGTGAAGTCACAGCTGACAGTTCTTTAATTTCATATGCAATGAAGAACCTATGTTGTAATATCCAAGCAGTGTGGCCATTTGAAATTGACAGATCTTCATCTCCCATGGTTGAGATGAGTGGCCATACAAATTAAATGAATGAATGAATGAGTGAATCAGTGAATCATTGATTTAATAGAAGAGATTTGGAGTGTACCCATTTCTAGAATGAACAGGGAGGGCAGAATCAGTTGGCGATAGGTCCTCTCTGAGGATCCAGACTCTATGCCAAGAACTTTATAGTTAATAAATAGCATCTTGAATTGCACTTGAACTAGCAATCAATACAGCTCACAAGCAGTGGTCACATATGCACATACCCAAAGGCACCCATTACTCTTTTGCACCTCTGCATTTTGTACCAGCTGTAAATTCTGATTGGTCTTCAAGAGCAGCCCCTAGTAGAGCACATTGCAATAATTCAGTTATATCCATTAAATTCAAACAATTTTACATTCCAAAGTAATAGCAATAGCACTTAGCAGTAGCACTTAGACTTATATACTGCTTTACAGTGCTTTACAGCTCTCTCTAAGCTGTTTACAGAGTCAGCATAACAGTCACCACAACAGCCTGGGTCTTCATTTTACGACCTTGGAAGAATGGAAAGCAGAGTCAACCTTGAGCCTGGTGAGATTTAAACTGCCAAATTGCAGTCAGCTGGCAGTCAGCAGAAGTAGCCTGCAGTATTGCACTCTAACTACTGTACCGCTGTAATAATTATTATTTCTCTGGAACAATTTGTACATTATATTTTGTAGGGAAGACGTTGTTGCTGATTTAGTGGAACAGATTTCTGAGCTGACAGCTATTATAGAACAATTGCGCCGAGATCATCAAGTGACACATAAACAGGTGAATCATATTGGTTTTGGAGAAAATCTTCCTTGTAGATATTTCAGAGAATTTGCTATATTTAGAGAGAGACCACAGGTTGGAGGAAATTATTTCGACCTATAAACCAATTACTATCAAGTTAGGTGAAATGAATTTAAAAGACATTTCAAAGCAAATATATTAATGGGAAGAATTAGTATGGAGATGAGATGAAGAGGAATGTATTTAGCCTCTTGGTTGTAGATAAACTTCTATGCGCAGTTGAGCTGTGTACCTTTGATTTAGTCTTGGTTCCAATCTTGATTCCAGCCATGTTCTTGCAGTTTCTTTGGCAAAGTGGTTTGCTATTGCCTTCTTCCAAGGCTGAGAGAGACTGACCAGCTGGCTTTGTGACTAAAACAGAACTAGAATTCAGTCTCCTGAAGTCTAGCCTGGTGTCTTTAAACAGTGCCCTGGCTATCTATATATACAGTTTGCTAAAAAAAAAGCCATTAGGGAAGTACTTATTAAATGTAATTATCTTTTCTTTTTTTCTAGATGGAGAAAGATATGGAAGAAAAATGCAATGAGATGCAAGAGGAACATGATAATAAAATGAGGTCTGGCTCTCCTTGTTTGGAAGTCTTGAAGTAACTTTTCTTTTTCCATAGTTATAGGATCAAAGGAGGAATAACAACACATTAAGGAAACAGCTTGCATTCCCCCCATCCTTAGAAAGAAAGCAACATGTGACTTTTTAGCATTGTTCTGTGGAGACAAACTCAGAAGTAATAATGAACAAAATATTTTGACTACTAATTAATCTTATTTCAATCTGTGTCATTGGCCATTTTCAGTCACCTAAAAATCTTTTTAATATATAGCACAAATAGAGCATACAGAATAAATTATTGTTAAAATATTGAATATTTGCACACTGTGATTTTTAGTCTTTAAAGTTACTTTCTGTGTGATTGAAAATGGCCAACAAAGAAAACTCAAAGTTATTCAGAATTAATTCCATACAAGTTTGGTGAAATTTTCTTACAAGTATATCTAGAAGTTTAGAGTCACATTCACCATGTTAAATAGCGCTGCTACTCTATCTGCAGTACTGAACAATTCCTTCTGAGGATTTGGTCCTGTTGAAAATCCTTCTTCTGTTACTTACTCTGTGGGGAAGCTCCCTCTTGATACCATGATAGACCCTAAGCAAGTATAAGCACAAGGGAATAGAATTAATTTTCCCTACCTTACTGCTGGAACACAAATACTTGGCAGCTTTCCTTTCCCATCAGTGCCTGCTACTTTACCTACACATCAGATGTAGCTTTGAGCCCTTAAAAAGTCATTCTCTTCTCATTAGTTCCAGTTTCCCACTTACTTGTCTACATTGTGATTAGAATTGTTCCTTAATAAAGTACAGTACCAATTGGTATGGGCATGGCATGCTTTCACGCAGAAAAAATTCTGTGAATAAAAACAACAATAATAGTAATAATAATAGTAATGATGATGATGATGATGATGTAGTATAATAGGAATAATAAAAATAATCACACTAGTTGTTCTCCATACAGATTTCAAACATACAATAAAAATAATGTATAAATATAATTGAACATTGGTTTTGAATGTCCCTTGGTACTCAACTGCTTTGGTACTGAACACTTTTTACGTGAAAATGTTGTCCCTAAACTCATCATTTGTTTGGTACTCAATGCACAAACTAGAACTTCTCTGCCTTGTGATTCACTACATTATTCCTTGTTCTGTCTCACCTGTGACCACGAGGTGAGAGTCCAAGTTTTCAAAGGAATACAAACAAACAGACAGGACCAGGAACAACAGAGTTAAATTCCTTTGACTGGAGGAATCCTTGACAGTCTTCCAGAAGCTGCCTGCCAAGTCCGATAACAAACAAGACCGTAAATCAAGAAGTAAATGCTGCATGGAGAGAGTTTGTCCAAGATGCTATCACGAATAAACAAGTTGATCCGAACAGGGATTCAGAGCTAACACGCCCCCTTATATTCCCTGAGGAGCGTGTCAGTCTCTTTTCTTTTTACGTTGTATGTCACGTTTCTGCCTGCGTCTTTGCCTTGCATCAGACCAGCATTTCTCGGCTTGATCTTCAGCTAATGACTGCGGCACGCTCTCCTGATTATCTGCCAACACCCAAGGCACAATCAGGGAGGAAGATTCTGGGGAGGAAGATGATTCCAAAACTTCCAGCAAAGCAGGCTCAAAACTCAAGGCCAAATCCTCCTCTTCCTCATTACTCGAGTCTGTGTCACTCAACAAAGCAGGCTCAACCCTCCGAGTCACAATTCCTTATGGGAAAATTGTTTGATACTCATCATTTTTGGTACTCATTGTAGCTCCTGGAACCAATTAATGTTGAGCATTGAGGTACCGCTGTAGTAAGAAAACATATTCTAAAATCCTATGTTCAGCTCCTGTGCAAGTTACAAGCAGTCCAGAGCTTTTCAGAACAGGATGGAGTTATCCATTTTCCCACGTTCAAGAGAGCCAATAATTTCAAGACTTTGCTTGTGGAGATTTTTCATTCAACCGAAGCTATATCCTTAGTTACTATATGCAAAGCATTAATGAAAGGAATTGCTGACTTTTTTTGGTTTCTTTCCTTTACATCCCACCAAACATCAGATGGGATTGGCTTTGAGAAGAGATGGATTCTGATAGATGGCCTGAAGAGTAAATATTTGGTCCTGGTGCTTTGTGTGGTTGCATTCAAAAGAAGCCTGGTCAACAGCTGACAGATGCTGTGGACTTTCCTGCTTCCTTGTGGAGTTCTCTACCAGCTCTAGTCATCTGTTAGCTGGGCTGAAAGGTTGTGAGTCAAGGACTATCTACATTGAGTTGATCTCATGATTTAGGTCCTTTTGACAATACCGCAAAGAGAATGATACATGAAAGGCTGATCTTCCTTACTTGATCTCTTCAGCCTAAGACATGCTTGTGGATGTTTCTTCTGTACTTTTAATGCTGTTTTGCTATTGTCTCTCGAAATAATGCACAGCTTTTTGTAGATTTCCCTTCCCCTATAGAGTATTTGAGTCCTTCTGATTTTTTCCTAAGGAGCTCTTCCTGAAATGTAAAGGATATTTTATAAATAGATTGCATATGATTTTAGATATGATTAAAGACTGTGCAGTAAATTGGCAAAAATCAGGTGCTGTGACTTGTACAAGAGAACAGCTTGTTCTCCAAGGCAACATTACCACTCTGTGTGTAGCTCTGCAAGTTTATTATGAAGACATACTAACTAGAGGACTTAAGAGACCACAAGTGCAGAAGTGCCTCTTTTACCTCACTTTGCTGTTACATTGTCTTGGCAGGGAGATTCAAGGATTTCACATAATACAAGTGAATAACCTGGAAGAACAGTATAAGAAAGAGTTGCGGAATGAGAGGGCAACTGCACAAGAAAAATTGGGTATGATGCAGGATTATTGATTTGTCTCATGCCTACATGTGTACAGGAACTTCACAGTGCACAGAGTTGTTTCACAAAGGAAATTAGAAATAGATAAGTAGCCAGGGACAATGGGATGATTAATACACCAGTTTGTTGTAGTGGCTAAGATACAAGACTAGGCACTGGGGGACTGTGAATTCTAGCCCTGCTTTAGACATAAGGCTAGCTGGGTGATCTTAGGTTAGTTATTCTTTCTCATCCCTAGGAAGAATGCAGTGGTAAACCACTTCTAAAATCTTGCCAAGAAAACCAGGAGTCAGTGTTGACTTAAACGCACACACACACACACACACACGTATTTCCATCACTTGTTGCTGTTGCATTTAAAACTACACAAGGAACTGTTCTTTTTTTTTTTTTACAAACCCATAGCAATTTGTAAACTATTTGATTGGAGGGGGGGTGTTTGAAAAAAACTGTTCTTGTGTCTAATTGTTCTGGTGTGCAGTGCTCTATAGTGTCGCTTTGAGGGAAGGAGTAGAAACAGTTTATGTCCGGGATGTGAGGGGTCTGTAAATATTTTCACAGCCCTCTTTTTGACACGTGCAGTATACAGGTCCTTGACTGAAGGCAGGTTGGTAGTAACTGTTTTTTCTGGAGTCCTAATTATCCATTGAAGACTGTGTCTGTCTTGTTTGGTTGCAGAGCCAAACCAGACAGTTATAGAGGTGCAGATGATAGACTCAGTAATTCCTCTATAGAACTGTATCAGCAGCTCTTTGGGCAGTTTGAGCTGTCTGAGTTGGCGCAGAAAGAACATTCTTTGTTGTGCTTTTTTTGATGACGTTTTTGATGTTAGGTGTCCATTTTAGGTCATGTGATATAGTAGAACCTAGAAATTTGAAGGTCTCTACTGTTGATACTATGTTGTCTGGTATTGTAAGAGGTTATAGTATTCTTCTAAAGTCTACCACCATTTCTACAGATTTGAGTGTGTTCAGTTCCCGATTGTTCCAGTTACATCACGAGGCAAGTTGTATAACCTCCTGTCTGTATGCAAATTCATTGTTGTCTCAAATGAGACCAATCACTGTTGTGTCATCAGCAAACTTCAATATTTTAACAGATGGATTGTTTGAGATGCAGTCATTGGTATATAGGGAGAAGAGAAGTGGAGATAGCACACAGCCTTGGGGGACCCCTGTGCTGATTGTACAGGTATCGGATGTGATTCTGCCTAGCTTCACCTGCTGCTTCCTGTCTGTTAGGAAGCTTATGATCCACTTACAAGTGTGTTCAGGTACTGCCAGTTGGTTTAATTTAGTTAGAATGTCTGGACTGATGTATTGAATGCTGAACTGAAGTCGACAAAGAGGACCCTTGTGTAGGTATTTGGAGATTCAAGGCATTGTAAGATGTAATGCAGAGCCATATTAACAGCATCATCTGTCAATCTATTTGCTTGGTATGCAAACTGCATGGGATCTAACAGTGGATCCGTGATGGTTTTCAGGTGGCACAGCACAAGCCTTTCAAATATTTTCATAACTACAGATGTTAGAACAACTGGTCTGTAGTCATTCAGTTCCTTGATGGAGGGCTTCTTTGGCACTGGGATGATAGTAGAGCGTTTGAAGCAAGAAGGAACATAGCACATCTCTAGTGATCTATTGAAGGTTTGGGTGAAGACGGGGGCCAATTGGTCAGCACAGACTTTTAAGCAAGAAGGAGTTATCTTGTCTGGCCCTGGTGCTTTTCCTGGCTTTTGTCTGTGAAATAGATCTTACATTTTTTTTTCTGTGATCAGCAGAGGTTGTGAACCCAACGGGTTGGGGCCAGTTGGCTGTTGTTGGTGTGTTTGAGATGGGGATTGTGGAGATAGGTGGCTGTAGTTTCCTTTCAAACCTGCAGTAAAATACATTCAGGACATCTGCTAGGGACACCTTTCTTTGCCTGTCTCCAGGCGAGGCTGGAAGACCCCCCCCCCCAGCTTTTCCTTGGCTGAAGATCTGAGCCTCTCAATCCTCCACCAGGAATCTGAAAGGAGCTCCCACTTTCTCCCCCTCCCCCCCAATTAATCACCAAGAGCGGCAATCCTTCTGCAGGCAGATGCCTGCTGAGAAGCCCCTGGAGTGGCAGCCAAGGGGCGCTGCCCCCCAAGGAGAGCAAAGCCCCCTTTCTGCCTCTGCTTCTCCCAGCAGCAGTTGCCCCGAGGCCCCTCAGCTCACACACACACACACACCGCCTGCTCTTCTGTCCCTTTGGAAGGTGCCAGGTGGGGGGATTTATATTTATAATTTATATTTAACATAAAAAATTATATTAAATATATTAGCTTTTTTTAAAAAAAATCGTATTAGTGGTCCTCGGGATTTAAAAGTATGAGTTTGGTGGTCCCTGAGATCCAAAAGGTTGGCGACCCCTGCTTTAGAAGAACTTCCCTCAGGGTGGAAAATGCCTTAAGGATTGTAAAAGCCAGAAGCCAAATTCGGTTCAAGTTAGAAATATGAAGAATTGAACAAACTTTGCTGAGAAATAGGAAAATTGCCTTCAAAGGAAAACCTTGTTAATCTCACCATCTTGAGAAAAACAATGTTTACATCTAGGGGGAGAGACTTATGAGGACAGAAGGATATGAGAAGGCATCATCCTCAGATGCCATTGACTCAAAATAATAGATGTGTGTAAGGAAGGTTTTTAAGGATGGGAAAGGAAGTTAGAGATCTTGGGTGGGAACTTGCTGTCCTATCCCTCAAGCTCAAAAGAGCCTGATTTTTGGCATTGGGGGAGGGGAGTTAATGGGTGAGGGAAAGTAGAGCATATGGGAGAAAAAACACTGTAACAAGCTCCAGAACCTGATTCAAAAGTGCACTGCAAAACTTGATTTACTTTGATGCTGAAGTTAATTGGCGTAGTTTTGAGATGCTAGGAGGTGGCAAATAGGATGTTTGAAGATGAGATGACTGAACCCATCTTATTGGCTTATCTAGTTGGATCTCTAGGAAAACAATCACAGCTTAAGACATTACAAATCTCTAAGTCCACTCTCCATAGCTTTCTTAAACTGTACCCAATCTTCTTCTTCTTAACTACAATTAAGGGGAAAATATTTCCCTGTCAGTTACTTCCTAATACAGGGGTGTCAAATTCAAGGCCCATGGACTGGATCCAGCCTGCAGGGTGCTTAAATCCAGCCCACAGAGCCGGCCAGGAAATAGAAAAGGACTGGCCCACAGTGTCTGCTAGCAAAAATGGGATGCAGAGGAGCCATGGCCAGCCTCCGCATGGCCCATTTTCAGATTGGATGGCCTCCTGCAGGACCCTGCCAGCCAAAACGCTCCTCTCCCATGCCGTTTTGAATGGCAGGGTGTTGCATGAGGCTGTCCAGGCCAAAAATGGGCCATGTGGGGGCTGCCCGTGGCCCCCTTGTGCCCCGTTTTGACCGGCAGGGTGATGCAGGAAGGTGTCTGACCCGTCTCCTACCCCTCCAATCGGCCCATGAAGGACAACTACAATGCTGATCTGGCCGTCCAAGAAATCCAGTTTGACACCTCTGTTTTGGAACAGGCCACTCCTAGCAACAATTAGGAAATATTCTCCTAGCAAAAATATCATCAGTGACTGGGACAATTAAGCAATTCTCTTGAAGCACTTCTTGCTTCATTAATTCTCTTCTGTCTATGCTGAGAAGTGGGCCAGGGGAAAAAAATACTGAAAAACACATCACTATAATTAAGACAAATCAAATCCAAAAACATAAAACAAGTTTGAGTCAATAGTTTGGACTATTTCCACTTGGATGCATGGAATACATTACTTCTTCTCTTTTATCCACCCTCAGCTACAATGCAGAAGGAGTACAAATACCTGAAGAATACATTTCGTATGTACCAGGTAAATATTTAAATTGCCGTCTAAGAATTGATGAAGTAGGGTTGTCTCAAACTCATGGATTCAGGGGCCATATTTAGAATTTGAAGATACAATAGACACCTTTTCACATGAGCCTTCAGTTGGCTGTGGCTTTCCCACAATGTGTGACCACTGCAAGGCAGTCCATATGGGGCTACCCTTGTAAAGCATCCAAAAATTACATGTGGCAAAGTACAGGATGGACTTTGAAATATGTTTAAACATTTTTTGGCATCCTCCAAAATTATCTCATCCTTACTGGAGGTGCAGTTTTTCTCCATTTCATTTGGTCTTTCTCGTGATGGAATCTCAAGTGGATGAAATTATGGAGGCTATCCATACTGTAAAATATTATCCCTGATTCCTAAGGACTATCCCATAAACATCAAGGACAGGAATTATTTGTGAGAGCCGTCCTTTTGAAAAACTCTAATGGGAAACATTACTGGATATCTTTGTGAAATCAATTAGTGAATGGTTTCATCCACTTGAGATTCCTTTTGCAATGTGGAGAACAAAGCTGTTCAACTGATTGTACTTGATGTAAATGAGTTGCTGCAGTGAGGAGACAGTGTTCAGGAGCTAACCTCACTCTACTCCCGCTCCTTTATTTAGCTATGTACTACCTATTTGCCTACCTATCTCTACAGGGCTTTAGTGGTTGGCTCCGGTCAAAAACTTTTTAATATGCAGAACAATTTTTATTCTCAAAACTTACTTGAAAGCAGAAATTAAACTCCTTTCTTACTTAGAACTTATTATTTTTATTGAAAAAAACAGTGGGTTTCCCTCCCTTAAAAAAAAAAAAACCTTTATCCACAAGTGTATTTTTAAATCGTGGCTTTTAAAAATCTTATTATTTTAGTATGCAAATGTGCAAGCAAGAACTGCAAGTTCTTCATATTTTGCAGAATGTGGTATGGGTAGTCCTTGACTTACAATTAAGCTCAAAATTTATGTTGCTAAGCAAGAGAGTTGTTAAGTGAGTTTTGCCCCATTTTACAACCTTTCTTGGCACTGTTATTAAGTGAATCACTGCAGTTGTTAAAGTTAGTAACACAATTGTGAAGTGAATCTGGCTTTCCCATTGACTTTGTTTGTCAGAAGGTCGCAAAAGGTGATCACATGACCTTGAGACACTACAACTGTCATAAATATGAATATAGCTGCCAAGCATCCAAATTCTGATCACATGACCATGGGGATGCTGCAATGGTTGTAATTGTGAAAAATGGTCATAAATCACTTTTTCCAGTACCATTGTAACTCCAAACAGTCACTAAATGAATGTTTGTAAGCCAAGGACTACCTGTAGTTTATAATTCTTCTCTCCCAACCTGGAAAAAGACATTATGTGTCTTTGGTGAAAAGCTCTTGTGTCTTCTCAATATCCCATGACATTCATGATTTAAAAAGTCATATATGCAATGTTTCACATAGGAGAAAATAAGTCAACTTTAAATCCTCTTGTGCGCTGATGAAGTTATAGTTAATCCATACAACTGAATGAGCATAAACTCATGAATGACTTTTGAAATATTTTTTTAATTGGACAATATCCTGTTTGATATGAATGACATTTTAATGCATTGATAGGCAGAACTGTTGCCTATATATGTTTCAAGCTGATTGGTGGTTCTGTTTGCTTGCTTGTTTTGGTAGGATAGCATTTCTGATGAAATGGAAGAAAAATGGCTGAGAAGACAGGCTGAATGGAAAAAAAGTGAGAGGACTGAGCGAGAAAAGGCATTATTACAACAAAGTAGGTAAAAGGAATGTACTAGTCTTGTACTACTGTAATCAAAGCACTATTTTCTGTTTCCTCAGCATTTTATTATCCCATAGCAAGTTTTCAGGAAAAAAAGTAAGGACACTCAAAAGCTGCAGATGTTTTGCCTTATTTTACAAGTTTATATATTAATATATAGTATAATTTCATCTAAAATGATCCAGGTTATAATAGTAAAGCACTTAGACAGTGCTTTCCAGCCCTCTTCTAAGTGGTTTTTACAGTGTCAGCCTATTGCCCTCAAGAATCTGAGTCCTCATTTTACCAACCCCGGTCAGGGTCGAACTCCTGCCAGTCAGCAGAATTAACCTGCAATACTGCATTCCAACCACTGCACCACCATGGCTCCTATAAAATTAGTAATGATAATTATATAATTAATATAGTTAATATTATAAAAATATAATACTAACTATAAAATTATTAAGAGTATCCTGAGACCAAGCATAAAGACTTGGAACACTCTGGTTTAAGAAGACAGTTTTACCAGCTTTGGAGTTGGGAGTAGTGTGAAGCGATGGGGGAAGAGGAGTCACAACATGTAAAATGGTGAACAAAATTGATCAATGTGGGGAAAAACAGGCATATAGCACTATCCTAGACTATCCAGGCCTAAGTAAGAATAAACTTAAAATATGGTTATATATTATATTTTTACAAAAATTGCCCTAAAATAAATAAATACTACATCACTCAAGCAAGTATAAACACATAAAACAAATCGGTAAAAAATCAGATGTCAAAGGCAGAAGGAAGCAAATACATTAGCAATATGGAATAAACACAAAGCTACAAGAGAAAGTATTTTGCTAACAAGTTGCAGGCATCTTCCTAATGTTATATACAAAATTATGCACACAGAATTTTGCCACATTGTATTTACGGTTGGAGTCTTATCATACAATAGAAACAGCATATGTTTGGGTGTCTTGGAAAATGTATTAGTGAGGGTATGATGTGGATGCTGCATTCGTGGCTATTTCTATCAAATTACCGTGCTAAATTCATATAAGAGTTTCCAGGACTCAGGCACAATACAATTAAATAATAGATTTTAAAAAACTTTATCCTTTCCTCAGAGCAATCTTTAACAAAGAGATTTGAGATGGAATTAGAGGAGCAGAAGAAGATTATTCAGAATAACAGTTTTTTGCTCGGCAGAGTTTATGAACAAGAGAGAGAAGTAAGTGTATTTCCTTTTTATCAGAAGTTGCTTTACTTTGTAGAGAAGGCTATTGTAACTTGAATTAAAGCTTTTTCCTATAAATCTCAGCCAGTATGACTTTTGCAAACAGGCATTGCTTGGATGATGTGTGGTGTTGTTCCGGTATAAACTTGTATTCTTATAATAGCCTGACTTATTCCTCTCATTTTTGTTTAGCACTAAAAGAATATTTAAAACAAAAACAAAAACTCACAAACCATTAAAGCTTGCTCCTGAGTGGAAGAAAATTTCTCCAGGAATAATTAATAAGAAATTGTATCCATCCATCCATTCAGTTCTTGGAGATTAGAATGCCCCCAACCCTCTTTGCCTTTCGTAAGGCTTTAAAAACGTGCCTGTGTTTTCAAGCTTGGACACTGAAGGTGTTAAAACCCCCATTTTCTGGTTTTATTTTTAACTGGTTAATTATCTAGGCTGCTGTCTATATTTATTTTGGATGTTTTTGGATGTTATTTGGGATGTTTATAGTTTTGGAATCGTAAGTCACCTAGAGTCATTGATTGAGATGGGCAGGTATAGAAATTAAATAAAGAAATTCATGAAGCAAACAACTCCAAACAGGAAGCAATAAAGTGTTGAATTTTGAACTGATGTTGTAAAATGACTTTACTGCTTGGGCAGATAACTTGCATGTAAAGAATGTCAATACTGCAGTACCTCATTGGGTCATTCCCAACTGCTTGCTTCATTCTCCTTTCAGTAATGGAGAAAGATTAACACTATGGCATTAATGAGCCCAATTGGGAAGCAACTTAAGTCTCTGAGTTTCAATCTGAATGGAAGTTTTCAGTAAGATGTAAACTTACTGAAACTTACTAGTAGGCCTGCTGTTTTTCTATTATCAATAGAATTATTATACAAGTTATGGTAGCCTCATCCAGTGCATAGCTAATCAGAGTGTGAATTGAGCTCCATAAGGGGAGACGTACACCAAGACTTCATTGGGAGCCCACAGATAATTAAGAATTGAAAGTTCATTTTCAGGTATATTTTTCTATTAACTCCCTATTTTTTTCTTTCCCAGGAATTTCAGAAACAGCAACAAATTGCCTTGGAAAATATAGAAGTGTTAAATGCCAAAATCAAGGCATGTGTATTGGTTTTTTAAAAATAATAAGTGCAATTGAGGCATCTATTTAATAAGTAGCAGCAGTGTGGTCTATTGTAGACTTCCTATATATATATATATTAGATGTAGCTTTCCCAACGTTCCACCTACTAGTTGGGGAAAAAAGAGAGTTATTAGTGGGAATCATAATTTATTAAACTAATATTTGCTTTAGTATTTTGATTAGGTCCAGCAACCCTAATCTACCATTAAGCAAATCTGTGAAGAACAAGGTTAGAGGATAATTTCTAATATTGGAAGAATATATTGGAATGTGTAACTGGAATATAAATATCAGTAATGTACTGTACATGTATAGCTATAGCCATAAATGGGATGTGCCATAAAATGCTCTTGCTCAGTCTGCTGGCCAAACTCTTTTTCAGGATATTTTAATTCATTTCATCCCCTCCCTCCCTCCCTCTCTTTCTCAAAAACAACAGCAAAACAACAATTAAAAAGTTGGCTTTTTTAGCAAGCCCGTGGAAAACCTTCACTGCTGTTATTTACTCTCTCATGTTTTGGCATTTACTTCCTTTGATATGATGGTTGAATATCATTTGTATTGTTTTTCTTTTTTCTTTTAAACTTTTAATTTCATCACCTAGAATTGCTTTGGCATTTGGAACAGATGATCAATTGATTAGATAATTTTCTGTCTTCGGCACCTTTTAAATATGGTCAATCCTTACTGGCTTTTTTTTTCTTTTTTTGCAATGGAAGCTTTGCCTTCAAACAATTCTATTTCTTTTAATGGAAAATATGGCAAGTTTGCTGATACGTTCTTTTTTTATATAACCTTCTGTTGACCATTAAATTATAAGTTCAGTGTAAAATATATACAAATCAAGAATTTGTTTATTTCCTGCTACTATTTCAAGTGACAATCTGTGAATTCCTGCACAAGGCATCTATGCAGTCTAGTTTTGAACCTTCTAGAGTTTACAGAGTTGTTTCATAGGAACTCCCCTCTCCCTGCATACTAAGCCACAGGTGAAGCTCCCACAGAATGTCTTCAGTTCCTAAGACCATCATAATGGATTTGAAGGGAATATCTGAGATCACATGAGACCAAGTGGGGCTAAGAGGATAAAATGTTGTGAAGTAACAGATTATCATCTGAACTCCATGCAAGGGAGATAAGCTCTCTTTATTGTGATCTGATTCATATACATGGAGAAGACCTAGCTACCTTAAAATGACCAAACAGAAGGTAGTTCTTCCAAAAGTTGGATTACTTAGGTATTGGTCCCACCTATAAGGCTTGATTGGGTGGGGGGGGGTTAGGCTGAGCTGTCAAAAGTTCTAGTAGGGAATTCCTCTGAGGAAAGCTATCAATATTGCCTTGTGCTATATGTGGGAACAGAAACGGGGCACTGTTTTTTGGCTAAATTATATCACTACTTGAACATTGCCACTGGAGGGGAGGGAATACAACAAACTTTAGATGAGGAAGAAAAGCATGCAGAAAATCCAAAGAACAAATGAATATTTGCATGAGGGAAATCCAAAGAACAAATGAGTATTTTCATTGACGTACAAAAGATGAGAACATGATGTGAAGATACATGGGAGAGGCCCCTTTCCACTGTGCCTCTTGGCCCTCCCCACTGCCAGTCTGGGTGGATAGAGAGGATGCAGCTTCTGGTTACTGTACTGTTGCCCATTCCAATCTTCCTGGAGGGAAAAAAGCCTTGTTCAGGCTCCTCCTATTTAACCCAAGGTTAAGTGAGAGAAGGGACTGTCACAGTCTATAACCCTAATAATAATGGTTATGCTAACAATTGTGATATTAACTGTACAAATGACATGGAAACCCAATTCTGTATTACACTCTTCTTACCATAGTAACTTTGAGGGTTTTGGCCAGAGAATAGCAATCCTGTCTCCTTTTAAGGAGACAATTAAAACATCAGTCATGTGATTTAAAATCAGTTTTATTAAAAATAAAGTGAAAGTTCCTTTTAGCCAAATGTCCAAACAATTTCAATGAGATGGAATAAGGCATTTATTGCTGATGAAAATCCAGTGTCTCCCAGGTGAATCTCCCATGGTATCCAAGGTGCAGGTTGGATGCAGATCCAGGTGGACAAGATTCAAAGTGCAAAGAATGTTAAGATGGAATGCAGCCTACAAGAATGAAGTTTCAATAAAAATGATAAATCTCTGATACAAAAAACCAGAGGCATGTTTAAAGAACAATTCGACACATTCAAAATACCAAAGACTATGCAGCAGATTTTTCTTTCTTTTGTGTTGATTCCTAACTGCCTGGTTAAGTCCCTGCAGCTCTCTTGGCAGTTTTCTTGGGAAATAAGTTTGCCACTGGCTCTTTGGTAAGGCTGAGAGTGAATGTCTGGTCCAAGGTTACTGAGATGGCTTTGTGCTTTAAGATGAGGCTAGAACTCATATAGTAGATTAGCATATCTTAAAGCAGAATTATCTGAAAGTAGAACTAGTGCTCTTTATAAAACCTTATAAGACCACATCTAGAATACTACAACCACTATACTACAAAAAAGATGTTGAGACTTTGGAAAAAGTTCAGAGAAGAGCAACTAAGATGTAGCCCGGAGACTACACCATATGAAGAACGGCTGCAGGTTTGTGATTTGGCTAGTCTAAAGAAAAGAAGAATTAGGGGTAACATGATAGCAGTATTCCAGTATTTGACTATTTGCCACACAGAAGAGGGGGTCAAATTATTCTCCAAAGCACCAGAGGGCAGGACAAGAAACAATGGTTGGAAACTAATCAAAGATGGAAACCATCTGGAATTAAGGAGAAATTTCCTAACAGTGAGGACAATTAACGAGTGGAACAGCCTACCTTCAGAAATTGTGGGTGCTCCATCACTGGAAGTTTTTAAGAAGACTAGACAGTCACTTATCTGAAATGGTATAGGTTCTCCTGCTTGGGCTAGACTTCCAAGATCCCTTCCAGTTTATTCTGTTCTATTCTGTATGGAAGCCAAGAGATCTATTTTATCTCTAAGTGGAGGGATATTTCCACCCAGTTTACTTCAGCTGCCTGGTCCTGATTAACTGATTTCTGCAATTGCAGCCTTCAAGCTCCTGTCCGGATCATATTCAGCACCTTCCATTAAGACTTTTATTTTGTTCCAAGACAAAGCCCTTTTTTTCCCTAGCAAGGGTGGGGCTGGGGTGAACAAATCTAGGCTTTTTTCCTTAGTCCCTCTACTTGAGGATTGGACATTTGGTTTTAGCTGTGGAAATCTGAACTCGATTCCCTAACCCACTCACACCTTTGCATGTATGCTTGGATGAATATAATAATCCATGCTTGGGAATCAGCTTCAATCTTCGAGAAGATAAATGAATGTGGGAGAGCAAAGGGTTTGCTATGCCTTGTGTAAGTGAATGGGTGTTTGCCTATTCACTGCAGACTTTAACAGAGACACAAAGGGAGAAGTTACAGGCCAGAGAAGGCAGGGAACTTGTAATCTATCTCACATGTAACCTGCATCTGTATAATCACCCTATCTTCCTCTCCGTCTCACTCCAATTTAAATCTTACATCAGTCTAGCCACTTTGTGCATATGATAAAGTGAAAGCTTATGCCTTTCAGTAAAAGTTGTCGGTCAGAAAAGGTGCCCAGAAAATTCCTTTGCTAGGTCTTTCATGGTTTATTAATGGATTAGAAAAAAGAAGATAAAGGAGATATTGAAGAGAAAGCTATTCCTAGGTATTTTAAATATGAGTCAAAGAGCTAAAATGTGATTGCTACCATAAAATCAAAATACTTTCCATTAAAATACATAGGAAGTCCATGACAAAGACATCTGAAAAACTAACAAAAATTGCGCCACCTTGTCTCAAATGGCTTGTAAAAATAAATTATAAGCTATAAGATGATGGTATCAAAAGAAAAGCTTGTCCGTGATAGATGAAGAGTAGTAGAACAAGACTATTTGGACGGCAGAAGTATTCGTGTCAGATAAAACAAGGAATGGAATAAACCATAACTCCTAAAGTGTGGTGAAGGGTGTAATTGATCTTCACCAAGGCACTGGTAAATATGATTTTTTTAAAAAAGAGTAACCTGTTGAGATAGGAAGCTATACAATTCAATAAGTCAAATAATAATTTTAAAAAATTAGTAAGGAGCTTGAGGTCTACCCAACTATTTCAGATGAGTAAGGCTCATCTGGCCAACACATTCCTTTGTTTTCTGCATAAATAATTTCCATAAGTTTTATTTGGTTGGATAGGTAATTCAAGTTTTCAGTTCCATCAGCTCCAAGAGCTTGTGAGAACTGTAGTTCAAACATAAAACAGTAAATTGCCTAAAATGTTGCTTGAGTTAAAGAAAGGGAAGTACTGCTAGGTAATTTGCTGGAGACTATGATGCTCACTAAATCTCAATATAATTTAAAAATCATTGTAGCTTTTGGGATGAAATCTTGTGAGATTTGGGACATTTTCAATCACTCACAAGAAGAGTATTGGTATTGTCCAGAAAGATATCTCTAATAAGTGTGCTTTATTTATTTTACTAAAAATAAAGTTGCACATTTTCATGGAATAACTGTGGAAATGTGATGCAAATGCTTGAAATTATTTTTAAAAAATGTTTTTATCCAATAAAAGACATTGGAGAATGAATTGAATGAGAAGAACGAATCTCTTAATGCTATTGCTTCATCTCTTCACAAAACAGAGTTGGAACTTCAGAAGGAGGTGAGATCTGTGACATGACTACCCTTTTGAAATTGGTCTGTTACTGGTGGTAGATGATTATTGCTGATGGTAGATGATTATTTTTTTAAAAAAAGGTAGCCCTGCATTTTCTCTTAATAATCCTCCAAATAGCTCAGAATAGAGTAATTCTACACCTTCGTGTATCCAGTAACATTGGCCCCTTCCCAGTGACTGGTATCCAAATACTCTGCAATTCCAGAGTAGTTTTATTCTTGAGGATAGCAAGCCCCTTGTTTCTCCTGCTACCCTGGGGATGGGTGAATCTCCTCCCTTTTGCCTGTAACGCTGTTCCTCAAAGGCCAGAGGCATAACCATCCAATCAGCCTTGCTCACATGCTATTTTTCCTTTACCCCTGCAAGAGAGAGCTTTCATCTGCATCAATATTCAATGTATATCCTTTTTAATTCCAATAAATCCTGTGGCTTTAGGTGAAGAGAAACAGCATGTGTGGTTGTGCAGCAACAACAAAGTCAGGTCCCAAGTTCAGCTACTGCTCCACAGATTCTCTTGAAATGGGCATTAACCATATTTTTTTTCCCTATCAGACCAAACAGAAATAAACTTCGACTCTGCATCTTAGAGACTGATTTTCTGCTCTGATAATGTGCCATTCGCTACATACATCACTGAAAATTATGAAATGTGCTCTGTTTAATGGTTGCTGTCATTGCTTTCAATTGCCTCTGGTTTTCTTTGAATCCCACTGCTATAGTCCTCATTGGTAGCCTCCCTTGCCATGGAACCTTACTTCTGCAACTCTCTTTTACTTGTTTATTACTCTGTCCCCTGAACAAGGCAGAGGCAAGAGATTGTGCAAATCACTGAGCCAATGCATTAATTCTGTGTGTTTAAGGAGAGGCAAAACATATGGGGAGAGCAGGACACGAGACTAGCTAACTAACATTAATAAGATAATGTTAGTTAGCTAAATAACACATGGGTGAGAGCAAAAACTGTAAGATTGATCTTTATTGAACAGAGCAAAATGTGTTGATTGTGCAATCATACCAGATTATTATTCTGAGGAACTGTTAAATGAACAGATACTGACACTGAATCTGAAGAAGAGAATGCATACTATATACAGAGCATACAAGAATGGCAGGATTAGTAGAGATGACAGCTGGAATTAAAACTGGAGATAGAACATTCATGTGAAATTTGCAGGTGCCATCACTTTGTAGCCAAAAAACAAGCTCATTAGGAAATAAAAATAGTTAAAATCTGGGTAGTTAAATACCAATCAAGATAAGATCAACCAGCAGTAATGCTGTAGTTTTAAGCTACAGTGATTTTGTGGAACAATCAGTTAAAATTCCATCCTTTCTTGCTTAGTGACCAAGCAAATGACTACCTCTAAAAAGAAATGGCCATAAGGTGCCTAATATTAAGTTAAAAATTCTCTAGTTCAGTGCTAATTTAAAGAGTACCTCGGATACCACTGCTCTTCCAACAATAGCAAAAAAAAAAAAAGATTTAATTGATGATAGAAATATATATGTTACTTCCCACTTTTCCAAAACCCAGTTTGTTATTTCCACCACAGAAAGCCAAAATGGCAGACATGGAGAGATCTTTCCAACAAAAAGCAGTAGCTGTTGAAGAGAAATATCGAATTAATATAGCTTCTTTGTCAGAAGAAAACAACATTTTGAGGTGGGGGAAAAAAATCTAGTAAAACAGTAAGTCTTTTGAAAAAGTTTTTTTAAGCAGTGCAGATTGACTGAGGTTTGTGAAACAAACTATAACATTTCCAATTTATTTATTTATTTATTAGAATTGTTTGCTGCCCATCTCACTATGTGGTGACTTACATATTCTTAAATTAAATTATTTGGCTTTGTGTGGGTGGGAGATGGTATATGGAGAATACCTATGGGAGAACATCTATGAAGATTAGATGTTCATTCTGAATACTTGTATTTTATTAGCCTGGTGAGATTACTTGGAAGCATTTTTAGCTTAGGAGTGACAAGGGCAAAGGTGTATGGACAGATATCAGGAAATCTTAATGAGTTTGAAGCCTATTTGAAGTCTTCTTGTCTTTGAAAATATTTGCCATTAAAATAATCATTTAAAATGACCGTTAGAACTGTTTGAAAAAAAGATACACATGCCAAAAGCATGCAGTAGCATTCAGTAATAACATAACTGATTGAATAGCTAAAATTCCAGTTGCAATATTCTATGTTGGTAAGACAATTGAATTTACTTTTGGGAAAATGAGGGAGTTGGTTGGGAGTTTCACTTGTATCAGTAACAATATTCATGATGAGATCTGATTCCATGACTGTCCGTATGAGTTAACAGCCACCCATATACACAGATTTGTCAAAAGTAAATCCCATTGTTTCAAGAGGAATTACTCTCAGGTTAATGACTCCACTAAGGATTATAGCCATATCTGAGGGTGAGAGCTTTGAAAGAGCTGCACTGGAATTATGCTTTTAGACTTTTCTTCCAAAATACAACGGTTCCTATATCTTCCAAGCACTTTTATCTAATCATACAGTCCCCAAACGAACTTTAAAAAAAATACTGACAAGATCAAACATGCTTTTGTAGCATGCTGGACCATATACAAAAGAAATTTTTAACTTCATTGTAGAGAATCAAGCCTAAAAACTGACTTTTTGCAAAACCCAATTTGAATTCATAAATCGATTCAAGGTGCATACCTTGTGCTTTGGCATGTGGGTACCCTTGTTACACATGGTTATAACTTTGCCAAACAAAACATTCAATACTTCTAGTTGTTTTAGCACAGAATTTCACCTAGCTTCTTATAAATCACTTTCACTTGATTGTGCAATGAGTGACACAGCAAGTGAGTGGGAAATTGGGGGGGATGTCACTCCCCAGTGCTAACTGCGATTCAGGGAAATGGTTTCCAACATTTGGTATCCTATAGGCTCTGTAGTCTCCTTGTACAAAGGTAGAAAAAAAAAACCTTCGCTTTTTTTCCTTCCTCAGGCACAAGCTTATTGAGAAGAATGAAGAGATATTTAATGAACGTGCCCAAAAAAGTAGTATTTTTGGATTGTTTGATTAGAAGTATGCATGAAGAATTGGCTTATGGGAGATTGTGTGAAGCTATTTCTTCAGAACAGGCTGAAGCTGGAACACCAGAAGTGTCAAAGGATTACTTACATATATGTATCATTATGTTTTTTATTTTATTTTTATCAGCTACACCTAATAGTTTTGTGCCGTGTTTTCTTCCCTTACTAGCTTAGAAATAAAATAAATGTTTCTTAGCCAGATGGTGGACATGTTATAACATACATTATATCAAAAGGGCATAACTTGGTCCTGTAGATTAAAATCCATATTTAAATGACTAGACATAAAGTGAAACACAAACTGTCAAATTGTAAATGTCTATGGAGATTCAAAGTCATCCATGTCATGGTTGTTCCAAAGGTGCTTTTTCAAGAGGCAATTGGGACTTTCTGGGTTTTCTTTGAAGACGTTTTGCTTCTCATCCAAGAAGCTTCTTCAGCTCTGACTGGATGGTGGGAAATTCTTCACCATCCAGTCAGAGCTGAAGAAGCTTCTTGGATGAGAAGTAAAACATCTTCAAAGAAAACCCACAAAGTCCCAATTGCCTCTTGAAAAAAAAAAAAGGACCTTTGTCAAATTATAATTAAAATACTATTCGTTAGTACCTTAAATATCAGGAACCCAAGGTTCTGCACTGATTTTGTTTTAATGAACTGGCTCCTATATTTCCTTGGAAGCCCACTTGAGGATGTAGAACCACTTATCTAGAACTGTTGTCATTTTGTTTGGCAACTGTTGCACTGTGTACTTAAAACACTGAAGTGATCTTCAATGAAAAAGAGCTGAATTTTAGAGATGTATAGCACTTCAGATCTGAAGCCAAAAGGCATTGTTGGTGCTTCTGTAATCCATATGTTCCTGGGATTGTTCATGGCACTTACTGGGCACACCCAGGAAAGGACAGTTTCTTTAAGGTGTGCACATGGCCCCAGACTAGCTCCAATCTCCTATTTGACTCTAAATCCAAAATTCGGCACACCCCTACTTTATTCCTGGAATGTGACTCTGTGTATGAGATTCTGCCTATTTTCTAGAGGATATATGTATAGATATATATATATGTATAGAGGATATTTCAAAGTATATAGCAAATCAAGACTTCTGTTATTTCTTTCCTGATACAATTTTTATTGGCTTGAGATTGGCCTCTTTGTGGCCTCCTTTGCCAGTCTTTGCAACAATGTATCATTAGTTATCCATCATTTCTTTGTTGAAGTCTTACCTCTCTGCTCTGAAACCCTGCATTGTAATTTATCATTTCACTGTATTTCCTCCTCACCCTAATGCAACTGTTCAGATGTTCAATTTGCAACTGTACATGTACAATTTACAATGTACAGTCCCTATCTGCTGTGGATTAGACGAAACATTTTCCCATTGAACAGGGGAAACAGAACTACTATGTTCTGTCTTTTATATGGCTTTAGTTCTGGATTTCATTAACTTCTTGCAAGAGAGTTGAAACTTAGGCAAAATCTACAATCAAGGCTTCTGCAAAATGCATCTTCCCTGCCTCTATAAAACATTAAATAAATATAGCAGAGTATCCACTGTATTTAATAGCTGAAGGACATATTAATTTATTTATTGTGGTAATAATAAAAAAGATCTCGTTTAACCCACAAAGGTTGCTCCTGGGCTTGGAGATATATTGCTGAGTATCAATGATTCTGCAGTCTACTCCTTCCCAATGAAGTAAACCTAGTTAGACCATATCTGATATCCTTCAGCTCTAGAAAAGAAGCCTTGCTTAAGAAATGTGCTGATCATACAAATCATTTTTTACATATGCAATGAATGGCGGATGGAGAAAGTACATGCCTCTTCATCTTCTTAAACATCAAATAGCTTTGAGAAGACAACAGGTATTCCTGTTCAAAGCACAGCAAAGAATTAATGAAAACAAGAGAGTTCTTTTGGAACTCACCAATCTTTTCTCTCTATGTCCCCAGCAATCTAAATTATTGCATGTCTGAACTCTGCTTTGATGACACAAAGGGTTCTTTAGGCACAGGGAAGATCAATTTTTTCCTGAGAGTATAAGCTGGTTGGGGCATTTGTTTCTTTTCACCTTGAGCATCTGCACGTTTGCTCACTTCTTCATTGACTTCTGTAAGAATGGATAATATATCTTCACCTCTAAAGAGAAAAAAACGAACATCAACGAAATATCAATTTTTGCTTTGCACTTACTTCCCTTTATATTATCACTGGACTATAAACTAACGTAATTGAACATCAGAAAGCACAAAATCAACTGTATGTTTAAGCCTGGAGACAAATTATTTAGTATGTTAGAAATTCCTTAGAGCCCCAGCTTCTATGCAACCAAGAATTTATACTGTTTGTCTCCCCTCTACCTCTTTGGCACAAAGGTTAGCAGAGCCAGGATGGTGTCGTGGTTAAGATGTTGGAGAAGACTGGGAGACCCAGGCTGAGGCTACTGTAGTTCCTTGGACTAGTCACATTTTCCCAGCTCACTCTCCCACACAGGATTATGATGGAAGGGAAATTCCTAACTTAGGCAAGCCTGTGCTAGCAAGATTTTGAGCTGGTGAATGAAGCCTATGAAAAAAACGTTTGAAAATTGTGTGAAATCCATTTGGAATGGGCTAAGTGGCCTACATACAAATCTATCCTTGGTAGTTCATTCAGAACAGTCACATTAAACAGAAGACTTCTACCTAACATGAATCCTACCTTGGCACCAGGAGCTGCAACTTACTGCAAAGAGCCTGAATGTACCAACTCCCTTCATGTACATGCCGGAAAGAGAGATAGCCATCTACAGTGGCCATGCCAAGCAGGAAATCTGCTTCATCTGGAATACTTGAGGTCAGCTGCCGGGAAGACACAAATCCTGAACTTTGTGCATCTGGTTCAAATGAGGTAGCATGGCCGGTGTCTTCTTCAAGGCGGACTGGCTGCTGTGTCTTTTCACCTTGACAGGCCTGGATGAAGAATAGCTTAGGTTTCTGAGCCAACAATGGGCAATGGTTGGCTTTGAAGTATGATGTGATGGTACGGATTGGAATCAGACATTCATCTGTCCCAAAAATTTGCCCAGACTTTCCATGAGATAGAATACAGCATACCAGACAGTCACCGTCTTTCCAATCCATAGAAGACTGCCAGAACTGCAAAAGGTTTTGAATTTCTGTGGAAGACTGGTCGTCATACTTTTTCACTTTGAATCCAAGCCAAGTGAACACGTGTTTCAACTCCACTGTTACAAAGAAATAAGGCAAAGAGTTTAATACAAAACAATGTCAGTGAATGAGCCATTTACATGGATCTAAATTACACAGAATAGATATGCCAACGGTTTCTATTCCTGCATTTTTAGGATAAAACAGATTTGAAAATTAGTAACATGGTCTTTCTTGATAATCTACTAGGCCTATGTCTGTGACCTGTTTACTTCTTCTAACATGTTATAAATGCAGAAAATGAATAACGATCCATATTGGAATTTAACAGGAGAGCCTATTACCCCATTTCAATAGGCTGATAGAATTTGCAGAGGAGCTTTGGAATTGCAAACACCAGCATGGTCCCTTACATCTTTGACCTTTCTTCCTTGAGCGGGAAGTACTTAAAAAAGTAGACAGCCATGTGAAAAAAATGTACAAACTAAATGTCATCTAATGGCTATTGTCCTCTCTTAAGCATACAGCAGACATTTTGCTTATGCTCAACATTAGGAGCAAGTAATCTTCTCTTATCAACCATTCAAAGTTACAGCAGTACTGAACAAGGAGACTTACAACTGGTCCTCAAAGCTGTGGCCACTGCAGCATCCCTATGGTCATGTGATTAGGATTTGAGCACTTCGCAATCAATGTACACTTATGATGGCCGCAATGTCCCTTAGTCATATAATTGATTAAATGTGTTTCAAAGTCGGCAAGATGTCACAAGTTGTAGTCACATGACATTGTGTTTAATGACTTGTGATGATTCGCTTAACAACCACAGCTGGAACCAACAAACTGTAAGTCAGGAAGACATTTAATTTTTCACTTAATAACCACATCATTTAGTGACAGAGTTGCTGGTCACAATTACGATTGGTGAGTCAGGGTTATCTGTACTATCTTATATGAGAAAATTGATTTCGCAAGGTTAATGGAAGCTGCAGCGTGAATGTTCCAATCCACGAAAACTGAAACTTATTTCTATTTGCACATGTCAATTCTACTTACTTTCATTAAACTAATTAATTGTCTCTAGTGATAAAACCCTAGCCTGGCACCTTCTGTGGAATAAAGTGGGAGATTAAAAAAAATCTAGACGCAGGCAGCAACAATAACTAAAAGACTATTTTACAGCTTGAAACCACATAAAAAGTACACATTAGCAATTATTTTCTGTTCTGTGATGCGAAAGCACTTTATAGAAAGATATGGAAGCAATTTAAGGAAAGGGAGGGTATCCCAATATAAGCACTTATTTAAGCCACTTACTGGCATCTTTCTCAGATCCATTCCTTTTTCTGAGACCACCTTCAAAATTGACATTGTTAATAATAAGACAATATCCTCTGCACTCCCCATCCATTTTATACTGAGATAACGTCTGCAGAATGAAGGACAGGAGAGCATCAGACTTTGGTTTGTAAGATCTTAATAACATTAGCATTACCAAAAGCGACTGTGGAGGGCACAGAGGGGATACCTTTGAAGGACAGGAGGGACAGCTTCTTAGCAAGACTGACCAGCATAGCCTGTGTCCATTCTCGGAAACGAATGTGAGAGAACCTCAAAGAGGCCCCTCTCTCTCATTCGCTCAGAGATAAAGGGAGGGAAGGGAGAAGCACATTCAGCCCAGCAAGATTCTGTTACTATAGCTGTTCCAACGAAAGAGTTTTAGATTTATATGGCATTGCTCTCTTGATCTGAACTACCTTATGGGGTTGATGGCTATAGACTCATTTAAATATAAATGAATTTCAGTTATTTTGCAACAGTGTTTGGAATCCTAACAAAATATTCTTTGATTGAGACAGTCTGGTCTATGCAAACTTCATTCCTCAATTGTTGGAAAACCAACTAGGATTTAACAGGAATCCTGCTAAGTCACACCAAAGATCTTTCTCATCCAATATATCTTAATATTGGTGACTTTCAATTGTCTGCTGTTAATTGCAGGCTTTGCACTCCAATATTTGTCACAAACATCTAGCGCACAAAATTCATTGCCTTTAAAATCAACATCACTATTACAACCTGCAAACTGGATGTTATTTTGTGTGTAAAGGACAAACCATCTGAGTCATCCAGATCAGTTCTCTAATAAATCTGGCTTCCTTTGATTGCTTCTAGAAATAAGGCCTGAGCTGAAAAACAACTACACTGGTGTCAGGTCCTCAGATGAAGCAAATGAACAAAAATGCAACAAGGTGGGGAGAGCAACAGATTGTCAACTGTCCAGTTGAAGAATACAGAAAAAGAAACTCCTGGGACTGTTGTGGTTCACCGGCAGCCTGTGAAGACGGCAGCGGGATTGGACAGTGGGGAAGAAAGCAGATCAGTCTGGGAGTCTGGAGAGGACTCGGACGAGGGTCCTGCGTCTAATGCAGAGATGGGGCCAGGACCATCCGGGAGTGGGGTGCAGCCTCTGGAGCCTGGCAGCAGCAAGGCAGAGGACCCAGGGGAGCCTGTTCCAGTACGTGTGCGCGCAAAGCTGCTAGAAGGTGAGAGCAGCTGAAACAAAAGGGGCGACTTGCAAGTAAGGCTGGGAGGTGATTGCCCCTCCCATGAGGTATAAAGGACAGGCTAAGATGACAAAACCTTTGCAGGAAGCAGTGGTTCGTTCGGTTCAGATTCATTCTTGAAGCTCTTTGTACTTCAGTTGGTTTGTTTTAGTTTATTTGACACTTCTGTATTTGGCAGCACTTCACAGAAAAGAAAGGTGGGTGCTTATCTCAAGGGACTGTTTGAGATTCATTACTGGCTGGGAATGAAAATAATTCCCAGCGCTGCAATAAAACAAGACTTGTTTTTAAAATAAGTGTGTGCGTAATTATGGTCTTGGAAGCCTTGGTAAGAACAGGGACATTATTCTTCCAAGAGTATAAACTTTATTGAATAAATTCACATTGGCACAGAAGAAGCGAAACCAGCTCTGGGCTTCCTGCACAAATGCACGCATAGTTCATTCCCCTTGGGGCATCCATTAGGTCCACCAATCACTTCTATTCATTTTGTTATGAGAACCAGACAACCATGCTGTGCTACCTGCTCTGGGTGTCCTGGGTGTGTGGAAGCAATGTTTTATGGGAACCAACAATGCTTGGAGGCCATTCCTCCCACCCTTGCATTCCAATCCACTACCACCCTATTCAAGCTGCGAGTGAAGAGGAATATAGGTGAACGTTCGAGTCAGTCTTGACACAGATGGTCTGTTGATGTTGTATTATAATTCTCATGAACCCTGGTTATTAGACTTGCTTGCTGGATCTAATGAGAATTGAAGGTCAATAGTATCTGAAGGGCTCCATGTCCACCATGTTGTAAAAGGACTTTTAAAAGTTAAGAATTGGCCAACATAAAATATACTAAACAGCTAGATTTGGGATAAATATAACTCCAATACATATACAGATTGATTGGGATAATCCAGAAATTCAGAAGATACAAACCACAGCATTCGTATCCCTGGGAGTTTGTTGCAACCCCTGTCCCAAGGAATCAAACACAGGTTCTGCCTTGAGATCTAAAAAAAAATTACAAAGAAATAAGTAGATTTAAAAGATTGCTCTTATCTCAATCTAATCATTTGAGAGTAGAATACTGCAGACAATAGAGGTAGTCCTTGAGTTGTGATCTGCCTTGCTGACTTTCTCATTGACTCCTCTGCTAGCTTGTTGAAAGCTAGCAGAGGAGGTCTGTAACAATGATTATGTGACTACAGGATTCTGCAGCCAGTCATAAGTGCAAGCTACTTGCTAAGCATGCAAATTTTGTTCATGGGATTGCACTGGTGCTGCAGTGGCTAAAACTTCCAGGGCTAACTGGTACAGGTAGTCCTTGACTTACAACCGGTCACTTAGCAAGTGTTTGAAATTATAAAAGACCTTCCCCCAAAAGCTGCTTACAACCCGGTTTGAAGTTATGGCTGCTGCAGTACCACCAGTCACTTGCCTATCTTTTCCTCAAACCGCAACCTCAGGTCTTGGGCCTCTCTCCCCCCCCCCCGCCAAATCCTTCCTCTCTATCTCCCACTTATTGTTTGAAGATATCCAACTTCAGGACCTCACACTGGGGAAGAAGGATCTCCCTCGGTGTTCCTGGGCCATGCAGCTGTGTGCTGGAAGGGATCATTTCAGCATGGCCACAGCACTTTCCACAATACAGACTGCAACAGGAAAGTACAGCAGATCACTTCGTTGGTGGGCTGCACAATCACATCACATAAGCAATCTCTTTTTCACAAGGAATTGTGACCACACTTGAAATGATGGCTGCTTCTGGGATAAAGTCGCGCAGACCAGGGACTTTGTAAGTAATGGAATGTTTTCCCTCCTTTCCTGTGAGGTCTGGTGCTTTGGAGATCCTAAATCGTCTGGATTCTTTTTAATCCGTCGATGGAGCGACTCCATGCTGGAATGCCCCTTTACTCCCCACTCTCCTTTAGCTGTCAATTCTACCACATTAACAGATATAAGAAATCCGCTACTTTTCATGACTTTTGGCAGTTCACAAAAGTACGAAATAAAAATAAAATATTCACAATACATTATATTTATAAATAGATCACAAAAGTATTAAAACAAGGACTTTAAGTAAACCAAAAGGGTCAGAGTACTTTTGAGAAAAAGCACACAATTAATTAGTTGTCTTTTGGATGGTCTGGATCAAAGCCTCTCCCATCAGTTCCAATAAGCATCATCCAGAGTTATTATGTGATTTGTAGCCCAGAAGTTCACCTTATCTTTTGTTGTAAAAGAATCAGATAGACACTTCTAAAAGTATAGGAAAAAATCATAAAAATACTGCCCTAATGTCAGTTTGTGTGTGTAACATATAATAACTTTGTTTTGATGAAGATGTCAGGTAAGTGGATCAAGCTCACATCTCACTCTAAGAAATGGCTCTTTGAAACATTAAAAACAGGGCACCTTGTCACTCCTTTCTACTCCCAGATCCCATGACAAGAATCTTAAGGCTCTGGGAATTTTCACCCCTTTTTCACTTCTTCTATGTCCAGATTGAGAAGGACCCTGGATGTTTCTGTATTCTACTGTGATGAAGCATGAAGTACTTCTAGTTTTATTCAATGCCAACCAGAGCACCTATTTATTTTAAAACTAGCGTTAAGCAGTTTTAAAGTCACAGTCATATAAAACTTCTAAACAAACCTAGATTTGCAGCTAAAGAACAAATTTTTCCACTGTGCTCTCGTAGGCTCCCAAATTTTTCATCGTAAAGGTGTTCTAAGAAGAAAAGGAAAATTCATATATTACTATTTATTTTTATTGCTTGACTTAGGAGCTGCACACACAGCTTTATATACAGTAAAATACTGACTGATTTTTTTTTTAATCGAATGTTTTACACTGGCTGATTCAGGCAAAAGGCAAGTACATTTCAATGGCAGAACCTGCAATTTCTCAAAGTAAATCAGTTTCTAGTCAATGATTGCAAATATTATTTCTTTTTTATTCATTCCATTTCTATCACCGCCCATCTCAATAAATGACTTTAATATAAATCTAACTTACAACCATTTATTTAGTGACCAAAATTACAACAGCACTGAAAAAAGTGACTTATGACTGTTTTTCACAGCTGTTGCAGCATCCCCATGGTCAGGTGATCAAAATTTGAGTGCTTGGCAACTGGCATGTATTTAGGATAGTTGCACTGTCCCAGGATCATGTGATCAACATTCCCAGCTGGCTTCCAACAAACAAAGTCAGTGAGGGGAGGCAGATTGGCTTAACAATGGCATGATTCACTTAAAAACTGCAGTGATTCACTTAACATCTGTAGCAAAAAAGATTATAAAATGAGCCACAACTCATTTAACAACCGTCTTGCTTAGCAACAGAAATTTTGGGCTCAACTGTGCTCCTAAGTCAACCTGTATTAACAGCTTATTGTTTTTTCCCAAGTCAGATTCCTATTTTCTTTCTTTCTTTTTTAATTTTTTTATTAAGTAAACATTAAAAACAATTGAACACAATGCGACTTTCTTGGCCATCATTTTGGCCATACATATAGCATAAAAGTAGATATAACAGTTAATTTTTCCTTTTTTCCTACATTGTTAATTTAATGCTAGTTATATATTTGTTTCTATTTACATTTATATACATATTTACAACCTAGCTTCTTTTCCATCTCCTTCTTCCCCTTATAGTCTTTATATTCATATCATATTTGTCCATTGTATTTCATTTTCTTTAACTTACAAAATTTTAACTTTCATTCCTATAAAGCGTCAACAATTTCTTCCTCGACTCAAATCATTGATACATTTTACTCCAGACTTCGTAGTACTCTGTCTTACCCTTATCCTTAATTTTTAGAGTTAGTCTGTCCATCTCTGCACTAATAATTTCCTTACTATTTCGCTTTCGATAGGGATGTCTTCATTCTTCCAGTTTTAGGCATACACCAATCTCCCAGATGTTATTAGGTGCAACATTAAATATATTGTTCCTTTACTATATTTCTCATCTATAATTCCCAATAGGAACATTTCTGGTCTAAATTCTATTTTTTGGCTAACGATCTCTTCCATCCCTACCTTTATCTTCCACCAATACTCTTTTGCTTTTGCACATTTCCACCACACGTGATAGTAGGTCCCTATTACCATGCTGCATTTCCAACATTGCAGTGATACATTTTTGTTTATTTTAGCTAGTCTTGTTGGAGGGAGGTGCCATTTGACCATTGCCACATCCCCATGGTTATGTGATCAAAATACAAATGCTTGGCAACTGATTCATATTTATCACAGTTGCAGAGTCCTGGAGTCATGTGATCACCCTTTGTGATCCTCTTTCAAGCAAAGTCAATGGGGAACCAGACACTTAGCAATCATGTTACTAACTTAAGAACTGTGGCCAAAAAGGTTGTAAAATGGGGCAAAACTCACTTAACAAATATCTCAACTTAACAAATGACTGCAAAGTAGTGCAAGTGGCCAAAAATGCAGGTTGGCTGCCAAGGGCACAAATGCAAAACCATTGGGGGGGGGGGGGAGAAGGGGTTTAATGTCAGAATTTTGAATCCCGTTCACCTTTTTAGAGGTCCATCAAGGAGCACCTATTAATGGCACTTTTCCCAGTTTCATCTAACATAATTTCACCCAACATCATTCATCCCTGAAATGAGATTGGCCCTATCTGTGTCTGTGGGCTTGGGGATGATGGTGAGATGCCTCTATTGTACTTAATGTCAAAAGGGTCTCTCCTAGTCTTTTTAATTAATATTTTCTTACTGATTTTACTAAATAAATTTTTATATTATGGTATAATTTTAAAATTTGTTTTTTACAGTCTGTGGTGTTTTTGTATGCTACCCAGAGTCACGCATGTGAGACGGGTTGCTCTATCAATGTGATGATTGAATAAATGAACAACTTCACAAAATAATAGAAATGTCACATGTTTTATCCAAACAATCCTCAAGATGCCTTAAGAAAGACTAATTGGAGAAATTCAGCATCGATCAGCTTAGGAGATTCATCAGGCTACAAGGGGGAAGACAGCAAAAGCCAACTCTGTCAGGCCACAAGATCAACCAGGCGGGGACAGGATGCTGCATCCAAGAGGAAGAAAAGTGAGGTTCCTTTCTTGCCATCACTTTTCCTTCCATCTCTTCTCTTGGCAATGATATTCCATCCAGGCAGATGCAGCTCTTAAGCATCTTGGCTATAGAAACACCTCTTCCACCCTCTCAATTAGTACTACCCCTAAAGATTTTTTTACTTCACATAAAGGTACTTTTTTTTGTATCAATCAGAAAATTTTAATGGGAACTTTAATTACAGATCAATGTTTCTTTTGCATATGCTTGGAAGTACTCCAAAGCCACTTAGGAAATCCATAGTCAATTGGAATTGCAGGTTAGCTGGTATATTTGAAATTGAGGGTAAACCACAAAATGGTCCCAAGTCACACACTAAATATATTTTTGTGTTAAATAAATATACAGAACATAGGGAGGAATGGGATGAAGCCCAAGCCTTTCCCTTGCCTCCCTTTACTTTCTCTGTTTCTGTTTGCTCTTTTTCTCCTGAAATATGAAAAGTGAGTCTACATAAGAAAGACATCTCTAGCAGACACAGAGCACAGGGTTTAAGGAAGAAAAGGGAAGGCAATGAAAGAGGTTATGTTCCACATTTGCCACCTACCTCCCCCTTCAAAGAGCATACTTAATAAACCCATGTTTGCTTGACACTTAAGTCTTAATCTAGTACCACGAGACTGGCACAGAATGACCACAAATATTTGATAAGCAATATTTTTCAAAATTAGACACCTTTTGCTTGTTTGTACATATGTATTTTCTTCAGGAGATGAGGTGCTATTTTCTGGCAGATACATTCAATAACGCTCAGGTCAGACTCCAGTAGAAGGCCTTTTTTCTCCAGGGAAGTCAGCAACTCCAAAGCTGACTGGGAAAGAAAAATCAATGCAGTAGTTATAATTTAAATGTGCTTCCCATACTGCGTTGAGTAACCAAGTCTTTCCACATCTTCAATTGAGTTCTGTCAGCAACATAAGAACAACTTCCAATGTTTCTTCAACAAATTGAAAATCTTCTAAACTGCATAGGGCGAAGTCAGTCTCTAGGATTGGGCAAACATAGATTTTCTGGACATGTAAAATGCATTTCAGAAAATTTCTACCTTCCATGTTTTCCTCAAAACATGTGTACCTTCAGGGGAAAGGCTATGTTAAGGCCATCTCATGATCAGGACTAAGGACTTTCTGCTCTTGACAACACAACTATAGCACTCTTTCCTTAGGGAAGTGGATTTGATGTTAAACTCATTTAACTTATTAGGATTTTTTAAAAATAATTCCTGCTTTATTTAGATTTTTGGCAGGCATTTTTAAATATGTTTTATGTTTCTTGCTTTTTTAGTCTTTGGTTCTACTCACCTTAATGGGTTGCTTCTTTGGGAGATGGATCTTCAGAAGAAACGCAGCATTCTCCACATTATCCTTTGTGAGGTCTTGTGTTATTTTATACAGCAACTGTCTGGGTGACAAGGCTAAACATGTAAGCTAATTCTTTTTATATAAGATTATAAGATATTCATCCTTAGCACCTTGCCTACCATCTCAATTTAAGCTTCTGAAATTCTGGACAATGAACTCTGATGGCAAATATTTAGATATACAGAATCAAAATAAATAATGAAAGTGCTTGGTACCCATTCAGAAGAGAAAATAATCAATGTGGAAGTTACATTTTGGTTTGGAAAACTCACCGATAACCAGATACCTTTCCTCTCTTAGGCAGTTCTTCTTGAACAATCACTTTAGTATAACCAAGTTTCTGGAGCAGAGAGTTACACCCGATAATGTAGAGAAGCTCTGCTATGAGAAAAGTATCATCCTTATTAATTAAGTCCTCATTGATGAGAAACTGGAAAATATCCAGGGCTGATTTCACTGTTTCCAGCTTCTTTAATGAGATGAAATCAGAACAGAGAAATTTCAGATCTTCTACATCGTCCTTCCCTAAGTTTTCATCAATTGATAGTAGCTGCTGGTGAAATACCACATTGTCGTTGTCAGCCATGGAGAAAAGTTTTCTTAGGAGCTAAAATCTCTAAAAAGGGAGGAAAAAAAATAATGCTAAGCATTTAGAAGGTAGTGGAAAAAGAAAAAAACCTCCCTGGAAGATAAACACTCACAAATTCTCTCCCAATCAACTGAAAGCAAATATTTTTGCACAAAACAATTACTGTAATAACAGCAGTTATAGGAAAAATATCAATATAAAATGAAGTTAAATAATTTGGCCAATGATCACTCTGGGGGGAGAGGACAGATAAGCCACAGATAAACTTTTGTAATGTGGTAATATTACCAAAAGCTAGAACTTATTTTTTTTTTTGGTTTTGCATGCATTCATATAAACACACTAAAGAAGTCAAATATATCAACTGTTCCATGATCAGACCTTTCCTTCTACCGGTATTTCACTGAAACAGCGTTTGGCATCTATTTGATTAAAATGTTATTGTCAAAGGTAACCAATATACAATACATAAAATTCTATGACATAATCCATTTATCAAAAGAGCTAAACATTAAGCAGTACTATGGCTTCAAGTCCCAGCAGGATAGGAACACCAATCCATATAAAGGCAAGAAATCAGATAAAAGTGAAAATCACAGCTCACCATGGGGACTGGAAATGCACCACTAACCAACAGAACTGATTCAATACAGTTGTCAATCATGTCTAAATTTAGTAAGCAAACAATTTCATTATTTTAGGAAGTAATTTCAGTAGGTGCAAGATGCAAGGTGACACTATAAGTACTCTCTCTATAGCTTCACCTTGCACCTACTGAAATTACTAACTTAAAAGATAAATGTCTCCAGAGTATATATGTGCCTGTCTGTCTGTCTGTCTGTCACACTTGCTCACCCTTCACAGCAGTAGTGCATGAGTCACCAAGTAAGGTGCTGTCCTCTCCCCAAAGCACAACATAGTGTAGCACCTATGATTTTCTAACAGATAAAAAGACTGCTAGAAAGTTACATTTTCCTGTTTGAGGTAAAGTCAGAGTCCTGGTTTACTCATTTGAACCTTCACAATGAATGCAGCCTCATTTAAGATCAGTTGTAAACCTCCATTCATAACAAATGTTCTTCACCTTTTTTTGGCTTACATTTCTATTTTTTTCAATCTGATCAATTCTCCAATTTTCTGCAGGCCTCTTTACAAGACTTTGGGATAAGTAGATGGATATAATAATAAGAGCTGAAGGTTATTCATATCATACTGATTATTCATATCATACTTTAATCCAAATTCTAAACAGCACTGATTCAAGCATGGGGGATAACAGGCCATTTTCTGGAACACCATAAATTATAAGCCAAGTATCATCTGAGAGTAGTCCTTCAGGAGGAAGCAAGGGATTTTATATCATTGTACTTCCAACACTCTGTCCTACCTTATCACAAAAACAGGGCCTGGAGAATTCTTAAGTAAGAGAAATTCATCATTTTCTATACAAAAATACGAAATTTGTAATTTACAGTTGAAGTTAGATCACATGGCAACCGTGGCCATAAACCTCCCTCATCCATTTTCTTTGGGGCTTTCCAGACTTCCTGACCATCTATTTTTTATTTTCCCAACATACAAGTTCCTTTGAGCAATAAAATCAAGGTAGCTGTCCAGATAACAAAAATACACCGAATCTCCTTGAATTTGTCCAGTTGATGCGCCGGCAACCTAAAACCACAGAAGGAAACTTCTCCCCTCCCGAGGCTGCGTCCTTATTTGGGGAAAGGCTTTTTTCAGCTTGGACTAATGAAAACGGTGGCCTCGTTCATTAACTGCAATGGCAGCCCAGGAAGGATCCTTCCCGTTACAGGGCCAATGTCTTTACTTTCATATCTTTCTCCTCCCCCGCCACAACCCCACTTTATCACAACAGCCACTCCCTTTCCCGAAACGCCACTGCCATTTTAAAGAACTTTCTGCCCGTGTTTCCCCCGCAACGCGCACGATTTAACTGATTTCCGTGCGCCTTTTCTGCAGCCCGAGGAAAACTTTTCCAAAGTTCGTGCAGCAACTTTGCCACTTGTTCGGCTTTCGCCTGGGCGGAATATTTTTTTTTCGGGGAGGGGCAGTCAAGGTTGGAAAAAGAAGGACGCCAATAGCGAGATCCAGGAAAACGGAACCCCCCCGGCTTATTAAGACCCCCAAACTTGCTTACTACCTCGATTCCGGCTCCCGAAAAAAATCGCTGGAGTTGAGATGTAGGGATAGTAGCTATGGCGAAGCGATAGTTTAAAACGCACCAAAACTTCCAAGTCCTTTTCCCGAATTCATTCATTAGAAGCAGCCGGGATTACTAAAGCGCGCAGGGAACGCTCTGATACCGACGGATACTGTGCGATCAAGCGATCGGAGAAGTCCCGTCCGAGCAAGGTAGCAAGGTTTCTCAAACAAGCAAACAAAAAAGCTCACGAAATTCTGATCACGAAGTTCGTGTGTTTTGAATTTCCGGCTTGAGATCTTACAGGATTTACGTAGTTATTGCTCCTCCCCTCGCAGCGACTTGGCGGGGAAATAAGCTCCCCGTTTGTGGTGGTGGCGCCTTACAGCGCCGGGTACACGCTGCCCCTCCCCCGCCCCCCGGTTTACCCCAGACCTGGTCCGCGGGTTTAAAGTAGTTTTAGCGAGGCCAGACGTCCTTCCCCTCCCTTCCCTTTTCCACGGTTTTAAAGGGGGTGCAACTATAAAGAAGGAAACCACCTTCCACAGCATTTTTCTCGTCTTCCGGATAGTTGCGCCACACACATTTCATGTGGAAAGGAGTCCACTTGCAGTCTTTAAGGGGTGAGGGGAGTGAAAAAGAGGTATTGGAGGCGACTGAAGTGAGAGGGGGGAGCCCTCGTGTGGCCAAAATCTGCGCGCTCCTGATGGGCGCGGAAAGTGGCGTGGATCCCCTCCTTTCTTGCCTGAAAAGTGGGGGGACGGGCAGAAATCGATGTCTGTCGTTGCAGGGCCCTATTTCCACTCTTGATTTCTGAGTGCTTTTTTGAAAAAAAAAAAAAACTCCCCGGAGGGCTTTCCACTCCCCCCATCCAACTGATTAAAACCCTCTCCCCCTTTAAGATCCATGTGACCTTTCCAGATCAAAATATTTTAATACTATTTACCCCGAGATTAGGTACTGATAGTTTTTATGGTACTGAATTAGGAAGAAATATGACCAAGGTAGTAGAATAAGTGCTACCCCATTAGGTAATAAAATTAAACTTCCCCTTTGCTTTTCAAACTCTACTCTTTAAAAAAAAAACTTTACCTTGACTCCAGGCTGTAAAGTAAAGGAATGAAGTGAGCAAAGAAACAAAAGCTTCCTGCAGCTTTTTGCCCTGAACTAAAAAAATAAGTTATCTATAAAAGTTGTGTAACAAAATGAAGGAACTGGGTCTTTGCAACCTTTAGCTCTCCTGACTACCTGTAGAGTCCAGCTAGGATTTAAAGGTAGACTGTAGACTGCACTCTACAGGCAGTCAGCCAGGCAGCTAAAGCTTGCCAAGAGTGGCCTCCATTTTGTCACACAACTTTTAGACGTAAAAGTTTGTTTTTTTAGAGATTAATCATCTCCACCCCCTCTGTAATTCAGGAGAAAAGGCTGCAGGAAAGATTTTATTTCTTTGCTCCCTTCATTTCTCTTCTCTTCAGCTTGGTGTCAGGAAGGTTTTTACCTTCATCTAAATAATTTATGAGGACACATACTTCCCACCATGTGTATGCATCCATTGAGGGCTACATGCTGACTGTGGTCAGCCACACACAACCAACAAATCCATCTGGTGGTGATGCTATCATCTTTCTGATTTACATACTACTTTATGGTCTACTTTTTCAGATGTCTTACTTAAGTCCAAGTAAATTATGTCTACCACATTTCACTGGTCCAATGATTTAGTCAAAAAGATTGCATTTTGGCTTCTGGTTATAACTTTGCTTGCTTCTAGGTGTATACAGATTAATTGTAGATATCTTTTACAGAATTCTCCCAGATATTGATGTCAGGCTGATGGTCTATAGTTTCCTGAGTCCATTTCCCCCCCTTTTTTCCTTTTTCATGATGGGAACCATGTCACTCTTTTCCAGTCCCCTGGTAGTTTCCTGGTGCTCCAGGATCTTTGGAAGATATAATACAGTGGTTCCGAGATCACATCTGCCAGCTCCTTCAAAATCTTGGGATGTAATCCATCTGGGCCTGGAGATTTTCACTCATCTAGGGTAGGTAGTTGTTCTCTTTATCATTTTCTTGCCCATTTTGATCTGTATTCCTAATCTGTCTTTTAACAGTACTGTTTTTGATTGGCTGGACTTTTTTTTTTCAATTCAAAACTCAAGCTTGTTTTTGATCACTGATCAGAATAGACTGTACTAACTTTACAAATCCTAGCTTTGTTCACAAGAAACCATCATTTATGGTTACAAAAGAGTTATTTTCCGGTTCCTCAATCTCATGGTCAGATCATTGGACTGGAGTCTGAATTGCTTATAGCCTCAGGTCCATTTGAGGGGGATCAGGGCTCAAGGCCCCCAGATTTGTAACTATCTGTTTCACCTTTTCTCCCAATAAAGAGGTATGAATGACTGTTTAGAAGTATTCCCTTTGCTGGTTTGGGCCATTTCTATGCCATGTTTGTGCTTATTTCTACTATTGCTATTGATGTCCTAGGGAGGTTGTTAAGCGCTTAAGTTCTCAAAAAATTCCTTCCCATTAAAGGGAAAGTGGGTGTGTGGGGGAGGGGGTTCATCAAGATCTGAGCCTGTTGAGCAGACAATTTCGTAAGGCTATTGCCTTATTTGTCTGCACAGCTCCCCTACCTTAGTACATTCTCCACAGGCTGTGTGATTAGTTTTATCAGATGTCTGTAGAAAGCCCTTCAAAATTTCAATTTTGGTACAATTCCCTTTACAACATTATCCTTCTGTTGAGCCAAAGTCTCATTTAGTTCCACCATTTGGCTCTCTTGCAGGTGATAATCAGCTAGCCAAACATGGTAGTCATTTTTCAGTTTTTCAAAGTCTCTTTTTAAAGAGCAGTTCTCTTGACTGTAATTGCCTGAAGAGCTTAGCCATTTGGGTCAGCCCAACTCCCAATAGTACTGCTAACACTCCAAGTAAATCTTTCTGTTTCTTTCCACTTAATTTGTACGGTTTCCCAAATTCTATCTTAATATTTCTCCCTGAATATACTGATTTCATTTTCTCCTACAAGTCATCAGTAGGCAATCCCAACTTCTCAAGCAGTTTCTCCATCACTTCACAAAATACCAAATCGATTTCCCCTCCTCAGAATTCTCCAGTAGAGCTGTAGCCCGGGCAGTGATAAAGTATCTTTTTGTCAGTCATCCCAGATTTACACAAAGGCATAACTGATAACTCAAATAGTAAATTTAAACTGTTTAATCTGTGTGTTTCATTCTGACACCAATAAAAGTATTGCACACATTCCCAGGTTTGTTTTACGGACACTCACAGCCCTGGTCAACAGTTGGAAAATGATTAGGGTCATACTCAAACCACTTTCAATTGAACATTGAGGCACAACAGGTTCTTTGGAATACATGGAAAACCAGTGAATTTAAAGTACAGCAGAACTTTCCTGGTTACAATGCACATCTGCTATTCTTCCCCCCTGTGCATATGCATGCACCCATTAATCCACACTTACCCATATCCTTCACCAGCTAGAGCAATTTAAATCTGTTTCTAAAAGACTACAAAGAGTGGGCAGGCTTCAGTGGGCAGATTTCTTTGCTTTCTGAATCACAAGACTGGCAACTACTATTGCCTTGTTAACAGTCTGGTAGCTGTTGATGGGACTTGGTGGTGGGGAAGGGTTCCTTGTGCTCAGACCCAACTTCTATCTGGTTTGGGTGACATTTTTTTCCTCTGTTCCCCCAACAACTTGGTTCTTTCTTAACTACAGGTGGTCCCCAACTAACAACAATTCATTTAGTGACCCTTTGAAGTTACAGCGGCATTGAAAAAAGTGACTTATGACCATTTTTCACGCTTGCGACTATTGTAGCATCCCATGGTCAGATGATCAAAATTTGTTAGACACTTGGCAACTGACTGTTGCAGTGTGCCAGGATCACTTGATCATCTTTTGCAACCTTCTGGCCAACAAAGTCAATGGGGAAGACAGATTAAGTTAACAACCGCATTGCTAACTTAACAGTTCCAGTGATTCATTTAACAACTGTGTCAAGAAATGTCATAAAATGGGACAAAATTCACTTAACTTGCTTAGCAAACAAATTTGGGCTCAAATGCAGTTGTATGTTGAGGACTGAAGGAGGCAGACAAGATTCCTGGCTTTCCTGGTCTACCCTGCTTATGTGCTTCTTTAGCTATAGCTGCTTCAGCCGAGAATCCCACAGTAACAATTTTCCAGCAACAACTAAATCACTCCCTCTCACTGGATCCTCTGCATCCAACAAATTCTTCCCTAGTACTTTAAAACAGATTGTGAGGTAACTACAGTGATATTGAAGGTAGACAAATCTATCTGAAACAACACTGGAAATTTAGTCTTAACAAAAAAGCATAGTACAAGGCTTAAAAGTAATCTACTAAAATAATAAAATCAGCAATCAAGCAATTAACAAAATAACTAGATTTAAATTTAAAAAGGGAAAATTTCCCCCAGGATACATATAAATGTATAAGATTGTGGTACAGTTCCAGCTTAAAAAGGGGATGGAAAAAACAAACTAGCGAGCTTGAAATCCCTCCAGTGGAGGAAATAATGGAGGCCCCTTAAGAACTTTGAAGGCTTTATCTGAAGAGCTGTAAAGAGAATGCAGTTAGTCTGGTAGGCAAAAACAAATCCCTTTCCCCCCAATTTTGATCAGTTCACAGTGTCATTCTAGTTCTGGGCACCTGACAAAGACTGAAATGTTTCTGACCAGCTTCCACAGAAAGGAAAAGTATAAACCAACACCAAAATATCCAAAGTATTGAAACAAATTTTAAAATGCAAATGCACAATACACATCTCAAGATATTCAGATGAAATACATACTGTTGTATTTTAGACAAAATTACTAGTATTACTAATAATGTCTTAAAAATTCTTTTATTAAGACTATGTTCTCTTCTCAGATAACTTCCTGCACGTTCTTTTTTCTCCTTGTCAAATCCCCAAGCATTTGCTTAAATTCAATGAGCCCCTTGTTAGAGTAGTATCATCCCTATGTCAACCAAGTTCTGCTAGTTGTCTTGACTGGGCTAGAAACAAGTTTCTGTTCCCCTATATTTCTGTGTTCATGGGATTTCTTGGTGCAGTGGATCTCAATATTCTATCCTTGTTGCTGAACTAACCACCAAAATAATCACATTGTCCCACTAGCTACATTTAACCATAGCCTGCCTTGTTCTCAGACACTCTTGGCTTTTATAGGGTGTGCTTTTATAGAGATGATGGGACTAAGAATTGCACACTGGAGGGCTGAGTTTAGGAAAGACCTTCAAAACCTATGAACAAGATAATAAAGCCAAGTATATACACTGGCAAAGCTCAGACGCTCCCCAATTTCTACCCTCCTTTTCAATGCCATTTCTGCAAGAAGATTCTTCCAACCAAGCACTGATACTACTTTACTCATAGTATTACCTATTACTTTTGATTATACTTGTATGCTGAGACAATTATGTTGTCTCACAATAATCCACCTTGGCTTTTATTTTAATTTATATTCATAAGAAAGGCAGAAAGTAATATAATTCTCTGAGCGAAGTTCTGAGAAAGATCATGACAAGTTATATAAATAAGGCACATATGGTATGCAATAAGATCTTAATACATTGTAAGAACTTTCCCCCTCTATTTCTTGTTTACAAAAATTACTTGTTTAAAAGTACAAATGTTTCTGAATGCTATCACATATGTTGTACTTCACTCCAAGAGAAACTGATAAATCTCAGAAAGTCTTCCCAAAGGACTTTACTTGTCAGTCAGGAAAAGTTTTTTCCTCAGGGTGTGCTTCAATAAGAGTAAGTACTGTTCTGTAGAATTAATCCTATTCCATTCATAAATTCTGTTGTTCAACTCCACAAAAATATCCAACAGAGACAGCTTTCTGCAAGGAAAAAGGAGGGAGAGAGAAAAATAAATACCTTCAGCATGAGATTACATACATTTTATAAGTAAAAGCTGCAGGTGAACAGCTCCAGATTTTGCAAACATGTCCAGTTCTACCCTTCAGCTGTAGGTTATTCAACTACTCTTAAGGCAGTGGCTCCCAACCTTTTGGGCACCAGGGACTGGTTCCATGGAGAGAACCGGAGCGATTTTCTTTCTGGGTACCAGCGTGGGCATGGTTTCATATGCTGTGAATGCATGCATTCTGTGGATGAGGCTTCACTTGTTTGCGCAGCCCATTTTCTGGCATGCTGTGGCCTGGTGCAGATTCACGGACCATGGTTCGAGGACCTCTGCCCTAAGGCACACTCGGACTATGTGCAGTATTTGGGATGTTTGAGCATGCACAGATGCAAACATAGCACCTCCTTGCATGTAAATATGTTTAGGAGAACTTGAGGCTTTGTGTTTTGCATGGCTTCTCCCAAGTAAGAGCCACTCCTTGTATTACCTGGAGGATGTAACAGGGTAACATTTATTCATTGATGAATTCTTCAAGATGTTTTCCCTGCTCATGGGACAAGAAAGATGTGTTTGTATTAGTGTTTCCATCACTTGTCTGGAATAGAGGCCTTATGTGTTTATTAACCATCAGAAGCCCCTCAGTTCCCTTTTATAAAGAAATGTATATGGAGGACATTGCTCAGTTAGAGGGAAACCACTACATTTCTATAGCATATTTTTGACCTGTGTCAAAATTGTCTCACTTCTGTCACTCACTCTTTCTGCAGGAACCAATACCAATGCTTACCTTATTGCTGCAAACCAAGCACTGTCGGAATGCTGTTTTCATATTCCTATCTATTTTCCATTCTCCCAAAGAACAGCATGGCTCCTGCATGGCTATAGTATCTGACATAAACACCTACCTCTTCTGAGGATCCATCAGAAGGCCAGCCAAAGTGGAGAGATAATAGGACGATGAGCATGGGGATCTCTCTAATACAGAGGCATCCAATGTGCAGTGGCTCCAGAAAACGTCTGCTACTTGTGGGATTGTGCATAGATCTCCATCTGCCTCTGTCAGACTGGCATTTCCTTGCCAATTTGGGGACTCAACATAGTTTTGGATAAAAAAGAGCTTTGGTTTTCCTAAGAGATCAGGACACCTTTCGCCAGTAAAGAAATCCTTCAGCCTTTCCAATTGAAATCCTGGAACAATATGGTCTGTGCAGAATATATGTTGATGGTCTCCTCGACTGACAAGTATACAAACAAAACAATCTGCATCTTTGTGAGCTCTTAGCCTTGCTGTTTCATATAAATCATGCATCACTGCATCCATATTCAGAAACAATCGACAGTGAACTTCAAAGTGTAGTGATTTAAAGGTTTTCATCAACAAACCTAGAGAAAAAGAAGCAGGAGCAAGAATACCACGCCAGTTAGTAGGTTAGTGAATGTAAAATTTACCTGTATGGCCCTCAAATATGAAATAATTGGGGACAGCAAACGGTATCTTGGAATATTAAGGATACTATGGAAATACATAGGTAAGAATTTTTAGAGCTACAAGGAAAAAGATAGATAAGGAGACTCATGAAATCTACACATCAATAGTGCAGAAGCTCAGGAAAAGCCCGTGTTACTCAGTGTAAGATTCTGTAAATACCCATAATTGAGGGCTGCAGCAATCTAACATTTGGCAATAAAATTCAAGAAAACTGGTCTTATAATCAATGTCCCTAATTTGTACTTTATCATTAACTAGCTGGATACCTGTGCTTCGCAAAGAAACTGTGATCGGGCTATGCAAGAGAAATTCAGTTCACAATCCGTTGGCTCAGTGGTGGTCAGTGATTGAAACACATACTGTAAGGGATTCCTTTCCCTTTCCTTCTTTCCTCCTTTCCTTTTTTTTCTTTCCTCCTTTCTCCTATCTATCTATCTATCTATCTATCTATCTATCTATCTATCTATCTA